CTGGAAAATTTTTGGGATGGGCACATGAAAAATGCAACCTCGCAAGACGAACTGTAAATTTCACCCCAGTCATTGGACATAACATCCAGAACTATGACCTTCACCACATTTGTCTCGCATTGCATGAATGCGAGCCAACAAGTACAATGAGTGTTATACCTAGCACCGACGAAAAATATATATCGTTAAGCATTGGAGTCCTAATTAAAACTATAAAAAGGAAAAACGGATCCGAGCAAAAAGTTTTTGAATACCTCAGATTTATTGACTCATGCAAGTTTTTGAATTCTTCCTTGCAAAAATTGGTTGATAATCTACCAGCGGAAAAAATGTCAGTTTTGAACAAGTATTTTGCAAACGAGACGGAGGAGCAACGGTGTCTGATACGACAAAAAGGTTTCTACCCTTATTCGTACATGACCAAAAGAGAAAAATTTGCAGAAAAAGAATTGCCTCCTTTGCAAAATTGGTCCGATGTTTTGAATGGAGGAAAAGTTGCAGTTTCACAAGCGGATCTGGAGCATGCAAGGAAAGTTTTTAGAATGTTCAAATGTCAAAACTTGGAGGATTATCACAACTTGTATCTCAAGTGTGATACACTCCTTCTTGCTTGCGTCTTTGAAGAATTTCGACAAATTAGTCACCAAACTTATGGTCTGGACTGCGCGCACCATTTTAGTGCTTCAAACTTAGCTGGAGACGCCTTCAAACGTATCTGCAAAGACTCGAATGTTCAGCTTTTATCAGACCGCAGGCATCTCGAAATGGTCGAGAATATGATGCGAGGTGGTACTGCATCCGTGTTCCATAGTCGCTTTTTCAAAGCCAACAACAAAGAATGCCCCGACTTCAACCCAGATCAACCTAGCACCTACGGGTTTATGATCGATGCAAATAACCTCTATGGCGGCGTCATGCAAACGGAGAAATTACCGGTGCGTAACTTTGAGTTAATAGAGCATATAGAAGACGAGGTGATTGTGAACCAAATCCTCAACATGACTGAAGACTCTTTGATTGGATTTATATTGGAAGTTGATCTCGAGTACCCAGAAGAACTGCATGAGGATCATCAAGATTACCCTTTAGCTCCTACTAAAGAAAGTGTACCCCAGGATTGGTTGAGTCCCTACCAAACGAATTTACTCGAGCAGATGAAAAACCAAGACATTGCAAGACGTTCAATTGGAAAGACCAAAAAGTTACTGCAGACGCTGCATGACAAGTCAAACTATACAATTCATTACAAACTATTGCAATTGTTTGTTAGGTTGGGACTTAAAGTTAAAAAAGTGCACCGTGTGCTGAAGTTTGAACAAGAAGCATGGTTAGAACCATACATCACATTGAACACGACTAAACGACAACAAGCTAGAAATAAATTTGAGGAGGATTTGTACAAACTACTGAACAATTGTGCTTATGGGAAAACATGCGAGTCGAAGCGCAAACGGATGCTTGTTCGAATAGTTAGAGATTATCATGCCGCTTTGCGAGAAATTAGTGCATTCGAATTTAAATCCTACAAAATTTTTGGAGAAAACTTGGCAGCGTTCACTTCGAACCCAACAAAAATCTATTGGGATGTCCCAACAATTGTGGGAGCTAGTGTTCTTGAGTTAGCAAAGTTTCACATGTATAAATTTCATTACGATATAATGAAACCAAATTTTGAATGTCAACTACTGTATTCTGATACAGACAGTCTCCTGTACCAAGTCAAAAGTGAAGATTTATACCGAGAAATTTCCGAAAAAAGGAATATTTTGAATGAACTTGACTTGTCAAATTACCCGAAGAACCACCCTCTCTACGACCCAAAAAACAAAATGGTTGTTTTAAAATTCAAGGATGAGTTTCCAGGAGACATTATAACCGAGTTTATATCCCTCAAACCCAAACTTTATTCCATTTTGTCCAGAGGTAATTAATTAATTTCTATTTGCCTTATTTGTGAGCACGAATTTCAAAAAATTTTGATTTTTTGTGGAATTTTTTTTGGAAAGCAATTTCTATTTGTGGGCGAAAAAATTTTTTTTTTGTGGGCGAAATTTTTTTTTTTTTTGAGGGCGAAAAAAATTTTTTTTGTGGGCGATTTTTTTTTGTGGGCGAAATTTTTTTTTTTTTTTTGTGGGCGATTTTTTTTTTGCGGACGATTTTTTTTTGTGGACAATTTTTTTTTTTTTGGAAAAAAAAAATTTTTTTTTGTTCGAAAAATTTTTCGGGCGAAAAAGTGTTTTTTTTTTTTTTTTGCAAAAAAATTTTTTAATTTTTTTGGGGATTTTTTTTTTTTTGTGTTGGTCGATTTTTTTAATGATGACTAATTTTTAAGGTCACACCTGGCCTTCATGTCATTTTTTTTTGTTGCACCTGACCTTCAAGTTAACATGATGTAGCTCCTAAAAAACACAAAACCACAGATTGCATTTGGTTCTTTTTTTACCACCACACATTAGTGATCATCAAAAAATTGATTAGAAATCATATAATTATATTTATAGATTGCAGAAAATTATCGGCGAAGGGTGTATCGAAAGCTGCTCAGAAGATGTTGAGCCATCAGCGATATCGAGACACCTTGACCTCTGGCTCGTTATTCAAAACTGAAAACAGTCGAATCGCATCCGAGTCACACAATCTGCAAACAGTGACTTCGACGAAAACATCGTTATCAGCTTTTGATGACAAACGCTACATCCTCGATGATGGTCAGCACACTTTTCCCTACGGTCACAAAAACATCTTGGGTCAAACTGTGATTGGCATTGATGATAGTGATGACAACACAGCCGCTGTTAATTCTGACCCAACCGATGATGACGATTTGGAAAAATGGATGCCATTTTTTGAAGATCGTCAACAGCCAGTGTCGTGGGATTGTGACGATTTCCTAGATGGGGTGTCTGAAGAATTCGCTAACACTCAAAACATTAATTGGGACCATCCGGAAATTGATGATGAATACTCTGAGGATAGTTTTGCTGTTGAGAACACACAACCACATCGCTCGCTTCGACAACTGATGGACCAGGTCAATAGCAGTTGGCAAACTCCAGACCCCGGTCTGATTCGGGCAGCAGAAACCAACGACAGTGATATTGATAGCGGGGATATCGCGGATCTGGAGGCCAATACTTCCGATGAGGACGAGTCGTCATTCTTCAACGATTCGTTTTTCGATTATGAAGCAGTTGAAGTAGAAGAACCACGGTCAAAAAATCGACGAATAGATTAAAACACAAAAAACACCACATTAACTTTTGTATAGTAAATAAAATTCAGTTATTTAATATGAGAATTGTCTGTACATAAAATTTGACCTACCGTTTATTCCGCGTTTAGTGTGTATTTAAGTGCGAGATTTTGTTCAGCTTTGGAACTCAGTTAATCTGGGATATAAACATTTTCATTTAAGCGATAGTGTCTTAAGCATACTTTTGTATGTATTTGTATGTAATTTGAGTTTGAATCAAAGTTTTAAGAAGAATTGAGCAAACAGTCTATAGCGCAGTTAAACACTCCGGCTGGTTTCAGAACAAAGATTTGGCAAATCCTTTCCCGCTCCAAACATGTAACCACAACGTTCAGTGGGAATACTCAATAATATACCGAAGTTTTACATGAGGACTATTGGGTATAAAATTATATGTGGTGACAATTAGGATTATTACATGGTGACCATTGCTGATCATTTAATACATGGTGACCATTATGATTTATACCTAATGGTCATCCATGTATGACAACCCCCCCCCCCCCCCCCGATCCTAACGCACTATATGCATACTACTATGATTTATACCTAATGATTTGACCATTATGATTTATACCTAATGGTCATCCATGTATGACAACGCACTATATGCATACTACTATGATTTATACCTAATGATTTGACCATTATGATTTATACCTAATGGTCATCCATGTATGACAACCCCCCCCCCCGATCCTAACGCACTATATGCATACTACTGTTCAATGAAGAAACAGTACTCCTCGTTCAATGAAGAAAAACTCATATTTTGTGAATTTGTCATGGTTACAATTAGATTTGAACTTTACAACAAAATGAGCAGCAACTGCGGTTGGAGGTAAATTCTACGGTTTTTCACTTAGGGGGCGAGGGGGATTGCGTTGTTCATCCAAATTTTGCAAAATTTGCCTAAAAAACCGATCATTGGGGCTGGTTTTTTTTTAAATTTTGCCTGCTGCGCAGAAGATTTGGCTGTAACCTGGTCTTTTTAGGGCTTTACGAGAACTCGGGAAATCAATTTTGTCGACCTAAAAAAACTAAAAAGGTCGACAAAACTTTCTTTTTCAAAATCCGCCCTTTTCTAAATCCCCCGATCTAAAGAAAAAATACATACTTTAAGGATACCGATTTTAAAAACTTATTTGTTAAGCTGCGAAAGTTTTCCCCTTTTAGGACAAAGTTTCATCGCTCAATGGCGTGGATGAAAAAATTAAATGAAATAAAACAAAATGAAAACTTTTTTTTCCAAAATTTGAAATTTTTTATGAAAATCATCCCCCAACACGCCATATAAAGTACAAAAAGATAGATTTCGTTCTTTGTAACAAATCAATTATGGCAAATAAGCTTCGTTCAACTAATTTGGAACGATTTATAAGACGGATTAAATCTCCGCTTACGCGTTAAAAGCGCGAATTATATCGCGCGTTAATTGTCCCAAATTGGTCAAAATGTCCAAAATGGCAATTTTTAAACCCTCATAACTTTAAGAAAAATGATGACAGGCGAAATATCTTTTCAAATTTAAGTTCAGGACAACAATAGCTTTCGAATGATATAAAAAATTTCCGTCAAAAATGGCTAGTTAAAAAGTCGAAATTTGTCTGAAGAAAAAAAAACCCACCCCGAGCACAAATATTCCGTTACTTTCGTATCGAAAGTCGGAACAAAAAACATCAGCAAGACCTATATAAGCATACTCACTACGTTCAATACTCTTAAGCAATTTGGAAAACAATTTGGTCGATTTCATATTCTGAATTAATTGTATTTTATCAATTTTCGGTACAATCAGAGAGGGTAGTTTATTAAATTAGCCCTTATAAGGAAACCCCGCTGCTCCGTCTTTGGATATCAGCTGACGGCCTTCTTTTGAGATCGTTTCGCCTGTAGCTGCATTAATCAGCACCAAGGTCGGAATTCCTCGAACTCCGTATTTGTCCGATAGCTCCTGTTTCTTGTCTCGGTTTGCATAAGGAAGCGCGAGCCATGGCATTCCCGAGTGGTACTCGGCGAAGGCTGCGGGATCTCGGTCAGACGACACGAACACAATTTCGAAGTCTTTTCCGTCGGCTTTTAGTTTGTTGTACACCTAAAACTGACTGAAATTGACGCTTGAAGATAGGAATGTCAAGCTTATTTTTGATCACTTGCTGCTTACATTTTAATAGATAACAATACTAATCCGATATAAGTTAATTCTCAAAACGAACTTAACTTTTTGAATAAAATACACTATACCGTTCGACTCATTTTTCGATCAACAATGACGTGGAGCTAAAAGACGGATTTTATTGGGGCGGGGAAAGGGGGTTTTAGGTAAAATGCAAATTCTAACGCTAGCATGCATGTCCTTTCGTAACTCTCAGGAATTCTTAACGCACCCAAAATCTTACTTTAAGACACCTGTATTTGTTGACGAACCTAAATGTTTCTAAAATGTGGCGCCGAAAATGAGTTTTATTGCCAAAATCTCAACATTTCTAAAATCGACACTTTCTATTGCATTTTTTCGTTAAATCTTCAAAATGTGCAAACGAACCATAGCATTTTCTGTGTTTCGGCAGATGACTCGGAACATCAATTCGGTTGTAACCGCGAAAAATTGGATTTTAACTGACAACAAAAAGACAAAATTCTAGAAACACAAATTAAATAAGACGATTGAAGAACGGACGATTTAAAAAAGTGAATCTGTTTAAGACACGCATAACAAAAAGCAGTTTTGAAGGGCTTGTTTGCAAAAAAGGCAAGCTTGAGAAAAAAGTGTGGTATTAAGGGCCCAAATTAGTTAGCTCATAAAATTTTTTGGCTCTTTTTTCTTTTCCCCCACCTGCGAAGTTTTTCAAGTACTTTTTATTCACATTGTCCGATTTTACAATTATGCGGACTAATTAGGCCATGACAAGCACATTTGATATCCATACTTAACCTGTCGTTAGACCATAAAACCGACGTTTAAGTGAGGTGGGGGGGGGGTAGGAAAAAGAGCCAATCGTTCACCTCTGCCAGTTGAGGAGTGAATCCCCGACAAGGGGGGCACCAATGAGCCGAGAAGTAGATTCCGAGAACTCCGTCGCCACTCTTCGAAAGTTCCGACGTCTTCACTTCGCTTTTGTCGCTCTTCTCGAGAACTGGGCCAAACAACGCTTCTAGTGCCATAGTGGTTGTTATGCTCGTGCGTTTTTGTTTATCTGTCGGTAATGCTGTTGTTAGTTTTTCTGATTTTGGTCCCTCTTTTTGTCGGTGGCTTCAATAAAACGATTGTTTAAACTCAGTAGTTTGATGAACGAATATAGTTTCGACTTCCAAATTAGGAAAACAGCTAGAAACAGAAATCGAATATGGTTGCGATACCACTTCCAAATTAGGAAAACCAAAATGCAAAAAAACTGGAACAGACAAGTTAATTAAAAAGGACAAATGAACTATTTCAGACAGTTTATGCATGCAGAAAATAATTTTTCAGTCAAAAAGTATGTCTCAAGAACACATAAAAGTTCAAACTTGCATCCAAAATTTGCTCAACCTATAGCTTTTATAATTAGTAGCAAAAAATTGGGACAAACAGAATTAATTAAATTGAGCAATCAGTGTTTTTCGACGCTTTTTTGCATGCCAAAATCTGAAGCCTAACAACCTTGATTTTTTTGTCAGACAAATTTCAAAATGCGAGATCGTCGATTATCCAATGATTATGCTAGCCTAATATTTAAATAAGGCGATGAACATTAAGATTTTATAAAAAAAACAGTTAGCAAAATAAGTTGATAATCTAAGTCTAGAGTTATTTTTAACAAAAAAAAAACAGATTAGAACGCCCCAAAAACTGCAAGTGAAGATGATCAAATCGTTCAATTTTTAGAAACCAATCGCAAAAAAAACATAAGCTACCCTGAGCAACAATTGTCCTGTTTCAAGGTTTACTCTTCGACGCTTCAGATGTAATTGCACACCGTTGTTATAGGTTTTGAGCGAAACTCTGCTTTATGAACTTTCGAAGTTATGTTTATTGTTCCGACTTTCGATACGAAAGTAACGGAATATTTGTGGTCGGGGTGGGTTTTTTTTTTCTTCAGACAAATTTCGACTTTTTAACTAGCCAATTTTGACGGAATTTTTTTTTATCATTCGAAAGCCATTGTTGTCCTGAACTTAAATTTGAAAAGATATTTTACCTGTGATCATTTTTCTTAGGGTTATGAGGGTTTAAAAATTGCCATTTTGGACATTTTGACCAATTTGGGACAATTAACGCGCGATATAATTCGCGCTTTTAACGCGTAAGCGGAGATTTAATCCGTCTTATAAATCGTTCCAAATTGGTTGAACGAAGCTGATTTGCCATAATTTATTTGTTACAAGGAACGAAATCTATCTTTTTGTACTTTATATGGCGTGTGGGGGGATGATTTTCATAAAAAATTTCAAATTTTGGAGAAAAAAATTTTTCATTTTATTTTATTTCATTTAATTTTTTATGCTGCTCCATAAACCTCAAAAGGCTCATTCAGGGCTTCGCACTGATACGAGCAGTCTTGTTTCAGTTTTAATTTCCGTTGATGTCCAGACAGTTGCTATTTTAATTAATTCTGTCTGTCTTAACTTTTTCCAACTCTCTATAACAAATTTATCGGACTACGCTTTGCATTTTTAAAATAATTCTGACCTTCAAGTTTAATTTAAATCCAAAAAACTTCTTTGAAGCTTCGCGTTTGCTTTTTTGTCGCCGTTTTATTTGTTTTTTTTTGCTCTGAAAAATTATATGGGGGAACATTGTTTAATGCAAAAGTTTTTTTAAGGGTGCTCTTGAAGCTAGGAAAAAATGAAATTCTCTGCAAAAGCTTAATTATTTTGCATTGCTCTTTCGACAGATCAAATGTATAGAGAGTTGCAACAAGTTCGGACAGACAGAATTAATTAAAAAGAGCATCGTACCATTTTGACAGAAGTTTGCATGCAATTTCGTTTTTCAGACACTCTGAATCAAAAATTTCGTCTAATAAATTAGGTTTTGCAAGCTAAATTTTCCCAAAACAGGTCAATTGCTCTTTTTGATTAATTTTGTCTGTCCGAGCTTTTTGTTAATAATTACACGCGGAATGCTCATTTTTGTCCGAGTTTCGAGGAAAATGACAAATACAGGGCTGATTAAAATTATTCTAACAAAAATAAAAAAATTTTACTTTGAAAAGTCATTTTGTCAAATCGGGTTGATATTAGTCAAAAAGTAAAGTGAACTAAAGTTGCTTAGATTTTCAGCAGAATTAATCTGATCCCGGGTTGAGCTCACATTGAACATTAGCGAAAAAATGAAAAAAAAATAGCGATAGCTATCGATGAATTAACGATGTTCATTGCCAATAGAGTAAACTTTATTGATAAATTCTCTTTTTTGGCTCATTTTTAGGGATGAAAAAGCAATAAAACTACTATCAAAAAGAACGAAAATAGTGAACTACCAGGGTTCGATCCCGCAAACATCAGCTTTGAAGACATGTATGCTGCCTCTGCTTCATCAAGACTTAGATACACGCAATTTAAAGGGCTAATCAACTAAAACTCTCACTTGAAAGCTACTAGTAGGAGTTAAAATTTGTAACGCTCTGTTTCTACGGAATCATTACTGAAATATCTCTGAAATTTCGCATATTTAGCTATGCACAAAACTCTGAATTATAAATACAAAAATAGATCATGTCGGTTTTGCTTTAAATAACCAAAAAAAAAAACGCTGAAACTACGTTATAATTTGATGAGAAAGTTCTTTTATAAGAAGCCTCTTACACAGCGCAACAAATTTTTGAAACCTTCAAAAATTTTTGCAAAAGGATTGAAACTTGTTTTTAACCAAATATTTTTAGTTTTATATGTAAAAATGATCTTTTTTGGCAATCCAGCAAAACTATGTTTACACTAAGATTTTTGGTTGTAATTCAAACTTCTCATCAAATAATATGATACTTTAAGCCTAATTTTTGACTAGGTAAAAAAACTAAGATGACCCAAATTTGAAGTAAGATTTTGGTTGCGAAATTCGAAAAAGAATTGGACCATATTTGTTTTGATGACATTCTAAGCATTTTTTTCTCTTTACTTTTTGTCTAATCTTCCCCCATTTTGAGAAAAACGCGTTTAAACTTTCCAGTGTTGTTCGTTTTGTACCGTTAATTTATATCAACTGTGTATATATAAGCTCGGGGTGGTTTATTTATTCAGATCAATTTCACAGATCAATTTGCTCCTTCGCGGGATCGATCACTTGATCTGATTTTTTCCTGTCAGGGTAAAACATTTGAAAACTTCTTCTCTACAGCTCATTTGAAAATTTTTTTTTTAAATGTACCAAGCGATTACTTTTTTTGCCAATTCGGCTAGCTTATAAATTGACTAAAAATTGTTCTCTAAACATTTTGAAAAAATCCTCATATTTGATTGGCATTTTTGCCAATCAGATTGAAGTAAAATAGTTTCAGTCCAATATGTTGTAATGTCGGTTTTTTGGGCGGAATAAGTAAAAAGACTCTAAAGTCGTTAACTTCAAGAGGGTACCAAAAAATCAATCGCATTTGTACCAAAAATATTCAAATGCCCAAAGATAACTGAGCCAAAGATTTTCAGCTTTTGTTTAAGGCAATTGGTGTGAGCGCTACGCGCGATTTGCCGCTTCGCGGTGATATACAGCTGTAATTTTTGTATAGAGCCCTAACCTCTGTTGGCAAGCTCGCAGCACGTTGGCGCGACTGCCTCGTTCATTATTCTGCCTTTTAGTTCTCTGCTGTTTGAATAGTAGAAAACTAATTTAATAAACCGTTTGCTCTTAACTCGAGCAATCAGAAGCCGAGTTGAATAATTTTGATACAAATGAGAACAATTTTTCGTTTTGTCACAAATGAACCTTATTACACATGGGACTTCACCTTCAAGAGTAATACCGGCTGACTCGCACCCGCAGTGCTTCAAATGTCATTTTCAGCCTGCTTTTTTAACATCAAAATTTTCTGTGTTTTGTCAATCAGTGTTTATGGAAATTAAAGTTTCAAAAAAATTTAGAGTTATGCCCCAGTGGCTGTCCCTAACAAAGGAAGATTTAAGCATGACAGCAACAGGCCCGATAGTCGCAACTGAGACCGCGGTCAAAATCAAATGTTTCCGCGGGAGTTAAAACTTTTTGACCATGTGTTGTTTACTACCGGCACAACTGAAAAAAAAAGTCAGCAATCAGTTCAGTATTTTACGAAAATTTATTAACTATATATGGCCGCTTTTTTCTTTTATCTTTTCGTGAAATTCTTATGGACTCAAGTTTAGATGATTAGGATCAAAACCTTGGTTTAATGACCAGACAATCGAAGCCATTTAGAGCTGAGATTTTTGAACTAAAAAATTCAAAGAGCCAAAAAAGTAAATGCCCAAGAAACCTGCTGCTAATTTTCAGATTGCTGCGACTTTTTTCCAGACAAATGAAACTAAATTTCAGATTACGGGAATTAAAATGTAGTCCAGATTTGCGGAAATTTCCAGAATTTCTTGACCGCAATGATCCGTCGCGACTTTCGCGACCGAAACGGAGATGGTGCGATTGAAATATTGAGACCCATTATTGATATTTCAGACTTTTGTGACCAAGATTTCCAATTTACAGACTTTCGCGAGCGTAGAACCGAAAGTCCCTTTTTATCCGCGACTTTTGCGACCAAGGCAGAGATGGTGCGGCCCCAGCGCAGCTCAAGAACCGGTGCGACCGGCGCTACAAAATTGAAATGTTTCCGGACTTTCGCGACCGAAGTGGAGAGGGCGAGATTTTTGCAACCAGCGGTGGAACGTTGCGACTTTATAGACCAAGGCGGAGACGGCGCGACTTTATAGACCACGGCGGAGACGGTGCAACTAAAAAAAAATTCCTAGCGACCTTTGCAATCGAGGTGGATATGGCACAATTTTCGCCACAAGACGTCGCGACTTTCCAGACGAAGAAGGAGACGACGCGGTTCAGATTTTTGCGACTTTAAGTCCTGACTTTCGCGACCAAACTTTTTTTATGTCCAGACTATCGAGATCCACGGCGCGTGTCATGTCCAGACTTTCCAGACTGAAACTCTCGGCGCGATTATGCAATTTGGGTCTAAATCTGGATGCGGCGTGACCCACAAAGTCTGGGACCTCGACCCGGGGACTATCCCAACCATAAGGCAATATAACTTTGTCTGCCACTAAGAACACTGCCAGACTATGAATTTCGGAAGCAAAATGACATGCGTAACCTTTGTAAAAGTCTAGAAATTAATCACGGACCTCGAACAGAATTTTAAGGTATCACCATTCATGGGTGGAATTATAACATCATCAGAAAAATTAATTATTACCATGCTATTAAAAAAAGTAAAAACTTTTCTGTAAAGTTTAAAAAATCAATCAAAAATATATACTTAACACTTTTTCCAGGTTCATGTTTTATTGAAAATAGCAAAATGTTCGATGTCTTCCAAAAACTATTTTGAAAATTTCGAACATCAATTCAGACAAGTTTTGCGCGCGCCAAGTCAAATACATCTAATTCGCCCAGAATATTAAGTAATACGATCCATGTCTCTTTCAACGGTGGAATTCCAATAAATATTCGGAGGCTATATGCTGCAATTGAGACAAAAGTAACCAAAGATATGCTCAAAAAAATTGGTTATATCTTGAGGTCTGCATGGTGAACTAACTTTCAGTAATGAATAACGAACGATATCTGCTCAGCCAAATTTTTTGAAAAATATCTGTGATTCTGATTCAGTTTAGGTTGTACCGTTTTCTTTTTGCCCGGGTAGCGGCGCTTTTTATTGATGGCTTTAGATTTTGACTTGCACGTTTGTATTTGCGCCGAGGTAGGAAACCGACGGTTTTATTTCACCGGAAAAATCTGGAATTGACAAAGTTTGGCTTCGCCGGTTTAAACTGACAAAATGACGTTTGTTGCGGCGTTAACATTTAGTTGCGCAGCTCCGACACACATACTTTTTAACTGCGTTTTATCAGGTTTGTATCCGAAACTCTGAGAAAATATTTTCATGTTTTCAAATAAAAATCTGATGCAACGTCGAAACTTCCCGGAATCGGCCATTCCGATCGCATCGCTGCATATCGGATCGCGAAAGTTGCAGCTGAATTTCTTGGTCGCAAAAGTCTGGAAATGGTAAACATTTGGTCGCATTAGTCTTGACATATCAAAAATGGGTCGCCTAATTCTGCTCGTGCCACCTCCGTATCGATCGTTTGCAAAAGTCGCGATGACGGATCTCTTTGGTCGCAAAAGTCTGGAAACACCAAGTTTCGGTGAATGAAAGTCTGCACATGCCAAAAATTTGTCGCGAAAGTCTGGACACAAGTAGCCAGGCCTCGATCCAGGTCAAAATTTCTAACAATAGCGAGACGCCACATAATAAAAAAGAACATATATGTAATAGGTTTGTAGGGCGACAAAGATATAAAAAGGTACCCCAAGTTTTTCCATAAAAAAACTGATTTGTCGGCACATTGAATACCCCACAACTGCTTTTTAAAAATCTGAACTAGAACCTGTTTTTTCTCGGTCTAACTTCAGTTATGACAACAAAAACTGACCAATTTCTGTTAAACTTACCTTTCTGGTTGGTTATCTGATGAACAACAAATGGTGAGTTTAACTGATAATTTATATACCACTGCAACATACACTATCAATGTTAGTTTAGCAAAATGAAATTGAATTTCAAATTCCTGTATGTAGCTGAATTTGATTTGAAATGTAACTGAGAAAAATCGAGCTAAGTTGGATTTGGTTCAACGTGACGCACTTGTGCTTGAAAAATTTAACGTTAGTTTGCGTTAATTCAACCACTGTTGTTGAATAATTGATATACAAAAAAGACACAAAAAAATGACGCGTATTTTTGCACATCAATTAGATTTATATATATGCATAGAAAAAACCAATAAAACATTGCATGGAAGGGAGCAAAATATACCATACTTTATTTTCAACCGCCGCACCGCGCCGCGACTAATTTTTCGACCATGCCACGGCTAATTTTTGACAACCACGACTAATTTTTTGACCACCGCGACTAATTTTTTGACCACCGCGACTAACTTTTCGACCGCCGCGACTAACTTTTCTTCGGTCTCGCTGGTCGCGGTTAACGTTCCTTTGGCCGTGCCGGTCGCGGTTAACGTTCCTTTGGCCGCGCCGGTCGCGGACACACTGCCTCGGTCCGCAAAGTGTGGAATTACCGAACTTTGGACGCGGTGGTCTGAAAATGTCCAGTTTTAGTCGCGGCAGTCTGGAAATACCAAAATTTGGTCGCGACCGTCTGATCATGAAACCACAACTTCGACCCGGGCTGTAGCGAATTGATTTAGATCACCGATTGTATTGAAGACAAATCCAGGATAAACTCGAGTGAAAGGGGACTGTTTTTGACAAAGACTGACCAGTATGATTTTCAGAACTCTCTTTAAAATTTTAAAGACCTTATTTTTCCATCGTTGCAGGCAAGCTTACAAAAAAGCCAAAATGCGGTTTTGGGCCTTTTGCGAAAAGTTTGGGCCTTTTGCGGCAGGCAGAGGGTGAAGCTTAACAAATTTCTATTAGAGAGTTTAAAGTTTAAATCATTTATAATTCTATTCATATTGAAAAGTTGAAAGTTTTAATCCAAATAGGCGTGGAAAAACGCTCAAAATTTCTTCACAGGCTGCAACATTGTGTTCTGTACTAGCTGGAAGAAATATGCAGCGAAATTTGGCGTTTCAATACTTTATCAGTTTGCAAAAAAAAACATGCTAAAGAACAAAAATAAGTTATATGCTTTTCATTTTCTGCGATTATTTTTGTTAACTTTTTTGCTCTTGATTTTAAATTTTGTTTTTCATGCTTGAGCTTGTCTTAATATTTAAAAAAACATACCACGTCGTCCTTTCTCAACATCAAATGTTTCTTATTACAATCCTTATCATTTAGAGTTTCTTTTGGAATAATTCCATCTTCCCATTGATATAATTCTAAGTTCTTTGTTGTTACGATTCTTTTTAAATTATTAGGGAGCTAAGTTTTATCCTGTCCGAGTAAATTACACAGAGGCGAAGCTGAGATTCGAACCAGTTGCGATACAAAATACTAAATCCTCTAAAACGAAAAAAAAAAATCGAAAATGTCGAAAAAACTAGATCTATCAAAATGAATAAGGCTTGTTTGAAACTGACAAGCCAAGCCAAAAGAATATGAAATAAGTTTTGCAAGAAACTTTACCTAGCGGCAACAAAGACGAACATACCTTAGCAGAAGCCTTATTAAGTTTCCCTCGCCCTCAAAACACACACACACGCACACAAAAACTTTTGCAACTTTTTAAAATGAAAAACATGAGGCCATTGAGCCGATATAAAAAAAAGCGAAACGTATTAAGTCGGAAAAAATTTTAAGACTAATGAAAAGTTGAAAAGTTATCAAATCCCCCTCACCTTCAAAACACACATACTTACTCTCGTCAAATGAAACAAAATGAGGCGACTAAGTCGGCAAAAAAGGCAATGAATGGGCCAAATAATAGGAAAAAAAGAATTGAAATATTGTAACTAAAAAGTTGTAATTAAAAAATTTATTACTATTTAAAAACTATTTCCCTCCACCCCCTCGCCCTGAAATACGCACACACAAATGTTTTCAACCTATCAACCCGAAAGAAAGGAAAAAACAAAAAAATTGAAGTTTTAACCAATCGATTGGTTAAATTACAACCACCAGAAGCAGCAAATTTTGAATAGGACAAATACTTTAATGGTAATATGCCAAAAACTCGCTAGTCTTCTAGCTAAAAAAAGGTTTCCAGAAAACGAATCTCGACAAGTGCTGTGAAAAAAATTGTTTATGGGAAAAAATGTCCTGTACCCAATTGCAATACCCTTGAAAAAGCGAAATAATTAGTGTTACCTAAAATTTTTAGGTGACAGTTAACAAATTTAAGCCCAAAGGAGCGCATTATCGGGTCATCCTGAAGTTACCCCCATACACCGCCGCATTTTAAGACAATTTTTTAAAAGGGACTTCCTCGTGTCCCCCCAGCATTTAAAACAATTGTCTTAAAAGCTGAGGAGAGAGAGACAAAAAAAAGTTTCCGGCGGAAAGTAATTAAAATAATTTTTTTTTGGAAAAAATGAGAAGCCTTAATTGCCGCATTTTCTAACATATTTTGTCATGTAAACTGGAAGTAGGGAATAGCATTTATTGAAATTGCGATATACGTTCGCTACATAATCAACGAACGTCAAGTGATCAAAATGGGTCCGATACACGTTCAAACATTTTAAAATGTGCTTGTGGAATCCAGTGACAAAAAAAAAAGAAAAATTGACTGCGGGATCCCCTGACAAACAGTAAAAACCAGCAACATTTCGCTTCAACTTACTCCAACTGTATAAAGGCATTTGTCTGCGGAGTCTAAAACAAAGCCTCTCATAGCATTTGTCTCCAAAATCCGCATTCTCACTGGTTTTCAAATTTTTGCTCACTAGCTAACTACTGCTTAAGCTTTGTCTTTCGATTCCATCACATTTCTGACTTCAAAAGTTTTTCGAAATGTTAAGGAATCTACTGCAATTTATGCGGATTCCAGTGACACAGTATGCAGAATCCAAACTACTACCAAATTATCCGAGCTTGGCATCGCAATGTATGTCACCCAAGTTTAAAATCTAAATGACTTATTACCCAAATGCAGCTCTTTGTTGACTGAGTTTGTCAAAAGTATCCTTAAATAGCACAATATCCACGTACGCAAGGCCGTTTTTATCGACACACTTGTTTCTGTAAAGATCCATTTCAAGTCCAAACTCGCCATGCTTTGATCGGTTTTCTTTGTAGATAAAATTAGTAAATTATTTCCAACTTTTTCTAGGTTGCATTGGCAGTGGGCTAAAAGTTTATGTATATCAATTATCCATAACGTTGAATACAACGTCCATCAATTTCGTATTCTGGTTTAGAAAATGTGTAGAAAAAATTGGTAATGTTTTTCTAGTTTCCATTGGCAAAGGGGCAAAGCTTTTTGTGAAGTTATTATAAGTAATGTTGCTTAACTTCCAATTAATGCCGCATTATAGTGTTCGCTTCTGTGTAAGTTTTTTATTTGCTGCTCAATTTCAACAAGATTTTTGTCTGATATCGCGCTGTCATCGTTTCAATAAAATTTTGCCCGTTAAAGTAGAAAAAAATATACCTTCTAGTTTTTTTTCAACTACACGCCTTGGTTTTCATTCTCGGTTAGTTGCAGTTTTTTTCCTATTAGATGAATGAAGTTAGCCTTTTTTGTGATCTTAATTTTTATCTCAAATTATCTGATTTACTCAATTTGCGTCATTTTCTCTCTCACCAATCCCATTCTCCAATTTTTTTGACGAATTCATTTTAAGTTTTGACGAAAATTTTCGTTCGCAAGACTTTTATTTTTTTTGATAAACTGCCAGCAAAATTTCAAGCAACAGCTGCAAAATTGTTCAATGACAACAACAGTAGTAAAAAACTGAGAATAACAAAAAAGAGCTCGGCTGATGTTATTTCGGAGAATGGTTTATCAATTTAATAGGAATTGAATTTGGATAAAAGAAAATTTATAGAAGAAAGAACAATTTTGGAAGACTGGCAAACACTTGTTAACTATTTCCCCCCCCTTCTATTTCAATTTTCAGAAATTCAATTTGGCGGCCACATTTTCAATAGCTTAAAACAATTTTTAGAAAATATATTTAAAATTTTTTACGTGCGGGCATCATATAAATAGTGAGTTATACAAATAGGAACGCGCGAAAATGAAAACCCACTTAATTGTTGACATTTTTAAATGCATATTTTATACAGAAATGGTTGTCAAAAACAAAACATGCATAGGGGGTTGGATAATTAACAAGGTCCAAAGGGGGGGGGGAATAGTTAAAAAGATTCATTAGTTTTTCTTCAAAGTTTGGTTAATTAGACTCCACTGAGATTTTGTGCTTTGATTTTTTTGGCCAAAATAACTGGCGTCACATAATACGACGCCACGGCGCTGTCCAGGGTGTAACTGAGTTCATTGCTTAATCACATTTCCTGAAATTGTATTTGTGTAAGAATTCATCCAGTCGTTTCGTTTCTCTAAAAAACTCTCTGAGTTGCTGTAACAAAAATATCTGAACAGCTGTTCTATTTGATCTTGCTAAGCTCATTATAATTCAGTTTTTTTTTTTCAATTTTTTCAGTTCGACATTAAATAAACCGTCGACTTTTGCCATTTGGGCTCTTTTTCCTCACCTCCCCCCCCCCCCCTGCAATTTTTTTATATTTGAAGTTCCTGTTAATTTTGTCCGATCATGAAAATTGACATGCAGACTAATTAGGCCTTGATAAACATTTTTGGTCTTCATAATTAACCTTATAAAACCACTCGTTAGACCAAAAAATTATGTTTGAGTGAGGTGGGGGAAAAGGAAAAAGAGCCGCCATTTGTAGTTTAAAAAATGACAATTTTTTGATGGTTTAGAAAAAAAAATTGGTCAGTTTCTTTTGCAATAATGAATCAATCCAATTGAATAATAACTTTGCTGTGTTGTAACTCAAGAAAACGCGTAATTGTATTTTTCTCCGAAATTATAACCAGCTCAGAAAAAAACTGGCTCTTTTCCAGTTCCCCCCCCCCCTTTCAAAATACCGAGTTTTATTCTTGTTTTACGTGTTATTACGGCTAAACGCGTGATGTTACGCTGTAAAGTATGAAGAACAAATCTGTTCAGAATTGTCAATTTGTTCACCATGCCAAATTTCATTGCATTATGACAATGTTAAAAAGATTTTTCAAAATTGAATTTGAAAGGGGGGGAAACTGGAAAAGAGCCAAAAAACTTTCCGAAAGTTTGAGGTTTGCTAAGCTAAATCTGAGTGCAAAGCTTCCCAGTCCTTTGCATGTCAAGTGAGTGCAAAGCTTCCAAAAAATTCAAACCCCCAGTTATCATTTTGTTATCGTTCGAAAACTTCGCATTGATTGTATTATCGTCAACTAGCCGTAGAGAGAGAATTCCGAAATTAAGTTTCACACTATGCAGTTTCAAGAAAAGAATTCGTGTTTTATCTAAATTTGATTTTTGCATGTCAACACTTTGATTTTTGCTGTTGAATTTCCATAGTTAGTTTGAATACATTTGCACGTGTTTCATTCGTATCAAACGTTAAAAATCCAGTTTTTGAAATCAAAAAGTAAACCACCTTCAGCAATTGCTAGCAAATTGTTTTATTTGTCAACAATTGACCTACAAATTACCATTCATACGATAGCAGTCCCTTTCTTAAGTAAACCGATTTGATATATCAAAATATTTTGTCTACCCTAGGGGTTTGCAAAACTGACAATTAAAGTCTTCGGCTCTTTCCCCGCACCACCAGTGAATCCTTGCATGTGACTTTTTGTTACTTTTTGTAACTTTGTTGATTTTATAACAAAGTTGGCATGCGGATTAAAAAGGCCATGACTAACATATTTGGTTTTCATACTCAAAACCCTTTGTTACGAAAAAAATCACTCCTGGGTAGTGGGGAGGGAAAAAGAGCTATGCCTTAACCTGTTTCAGCGAACCTTGACAGCATGTATTGTTCAAAAATGATTGAACCGTAAGAAAAAACATTTTGCATCATTACTCTCCATTTTTAGGGAAATTTTCAATTGCACCTGATTCTAATTTTAAAACATTATTTTTGTTCCGACTTTCGATACGAAAGTAACGGAATATTTGTGCTCGGAGTGGGTTTTTTTTTTTTCTTCAGACAAATTTCGACTTTTTAACTAGCCGTTTTTGACTCAATTTTTTTATATCATTCGAAAGCTATTGTTGTCCTGAGCTTGAATTTGAAAATATATTTCCCCTGTGATCATTTTTCGTAAAGTTATGGGGGTTTAAAGATTGCCATTTTGGCCAATTTGGGACAATTAACGCGCGATAAATTTCGCGCTATTAACGCGTAAGCGAGATTTAATCCGTCTTAGAAATCGTTCCAAATTAGTTCAAGGAAGCTTATATGCCATAATTGATTTGTTAATAGGCGCAAAATCTATCGCTTTGTTCTTAATATGACGTGTGGGGGGAGGTTTTTACATAAAATTTTTTTAATTTTTTTTTATTACTTTGAAATTTTTCATCTTATTAATGCTCCATAGACCTTAAAAGGCAGTCGGAACTTTGAGGGCTTCGCCCTGATACGAGCAGTCTTGTTATTCTTTATTCTAATATGAGTCAGGTTATTTTGTTCATATCAACTGACATGGGGTTTTAACCAAACTCCATTTTATTTGAGAAAACATACTTTTTTCTTTTTTATTTCAGAAAGTACAAATGCCAATTTATCGCTTTGAACTTGGCTGTAGCAACGGCTCAGCTCTTTCTCCTTTCCCCCACCTGCAAAATTTTTAGCAGGTGTTTGGGCTATGTTTGGGCTATGACAAACATATTTGATTTTCATATTCAACCTTGTAAAACCACTCGTTACACCTTGAAATCGGTGCTTATGTGAGGTGGGGGAAAAGAAAAAGAGCCAACTGCTCGTTTCAAATTACTCTATGGTTTTTTCCTGAAAAAAGATTTACAAACGCTATTCAAAATAAACAAGACAGCCCGTATCAGGGCAAAACCCTGAATAATTATTGGTAAATTCATTCGAGTCGTTTATGGAACTATTAAAAACAATTAGCTGCCTCAATTCAATTCAGAATGATTTTGTATTCCAGCGGGATATTTGGTACGCGTGTAATTTATATAAAATGAGCAGTTTCAACATACTTGTGGCAGGTTACTATAGTGGTATGCATAACCTGCTGTGCCTATGCAGGTCATGAGATCGATGATCCCCCGAGGGACCAGACTTTTGTAAGAAAAAATTGTCTGAACTAAAAAAAACTACCAAGCATATTTGTTCCTCACTTTATTCGAAAGTCGAAACAAAAAAGAAAACAACCAACACTTTTATTGATTTTGTTAACTTCAATCAAACGATTAGTTATGAACATATGAACAAATTTTAACGATATTTTTTTACACGAAAATGGCAACACGAAAAGTTTAATATTTAATTTAAGGAGAGAACTGGAAACTTGAAAAAAGATCAGAAAAGTAGAAAGCCGAGAAAAAATTGAGGAGAAATAGAAACATTTTAAATTTTGAAAATAAAAATTTAATAGTGTCTTACTTTTTTGTGTGGTTCTGTCAATTTATCCACTAGCAATTTTGTTTTTTTTCCATTGACTCCCAACATTTGAATTTCGGTCTAAAAAAACTATTTAAGCGTTGTCATAATGTAATGAAATTTTGCATGGTGAGCTTACAAACTAACGTGAAAACATTTGTTCTTCATGTCTTACATCTTAACATCACGCATTCAGCCATAACAAGAGAAAACTTATAAAAAAATGAAAACATAAAACTTCCTAGCATCAAAAAGTTACCCTGTAAACTTCAGATTTGTTACTGGTGAGGGGAATAGTGGGAGGGAGAGGAAATTGTTTTTATATAAGACTGAACCCTTATTGCTCGGCTTAACAACAAAAATAAGCTAGATTTTCGAAAGTTCCTTTTATGTTGTTTTGTTATTGGTTACATTAGTTTCGACTAACCACAGCCGCAAATCAAGCAACCAAATAGGGCATTTCCTCAGTGGGGCACTTGATTGGCATGTTGGGGTCAAAAGTATTTGGTCGCGACTTCTTCAGCTCAAACATGTTATTCCACAGATACCGTCCAGCTGAATTATGGCCACGCTGGCTGAAATGGAAACAGTCCGGAGCAAAGTAGGTCAAATCTGGCTTTCCGTCAACTTGAGGGGGTTCAATGTCTTCCAAAAATGGTTGAATTACGACTTTAAAATCGTCTCTCGTATCGTAGCGTCCAGTTTCAACCAAATTGGTCAGGACTTCTACGTAATTTTTACTGATTCGTCTCACTTTCCTGGGACTTTCGAGCGCACATGAGCAGAAACATGTGTGAGCCAAGTCACAAATTGGGTGTCCTTTGCTCATTGATTTCAAAAATGAGATATCGAAAATGGTGATCAAGTTGACGAAGGCTCTTGGCAGATGTTGGTGAAGGTAATCCAGAGAGTATTTCACGTCTTTCTCGAAGTTGCTAGCAGAGCTGTTAGGATCAACGCAAGTCTGACAGAGGTTATTACCCCCAATGAAAAATGTCACCAATTTCCAGTCGTTATCAAAATCGGTAGACTTTTTCAGCTCCCTGACTAATTTTCTAACTTGAGCCCTCAAGTGTATTGCCTTTGCACCTGGAACCGCCATGTTGAAGCCCGAGTTCCAGTCTTCTCCCGACGAAATGCCGGCCGAAAAGCCTTTTAAATTGGGATTGTAGAACTTCAAAGCGTTTGCTATTGTAAAATGGGTCGACACATTATTGTAGATTGATGATTTAGCTTCCGCGCCTCGTTCTTGAGCGAAGTACCCTCCGATGCTGAAAGTCAAACCTTTATACGCATTCGATATTCCAAGAATGTTACTTGCTCGGGCGCCAGAAGCGGCGGTTAGCGAGTCACCGACTGCCGCGATGATATCAATGTCTCCGGGTCGCAATTTGTCAATAGATGTCGGTTTAGAAAGCGACCTTGCGAGCTTCTTGCATGGGAAGTGATTCTCATCTAGCACAATTTTCTTGAAAAATTTGCCCTTTTCTTTATGTGCTCGGAGGAAATCAGAGAAATCTAGATTGTCTTTTATGAATTCGCCCATAGTTTTGTTCCTGTTGACGCCAATACATGGCAGATCAGCTTCCGAAAAGGGGAACGCTACAATCGCTATGGCAAAGACACTCGCCAATTTTCTCAGCGATGTCATTTTTAGGCAGTAATTACCGGATTGTTTTACTCTTCTGGTGATTTGACTTCTAATTTTAGTTGTTTTGTTGAATTCGTTCACACATTTCAGCTTCTGACTTTTCGGGAATTAAGTGAAAAAATGAATCAAAATCAAATTAAGGATAATATGCATGTGCACACAAATTCACGATTACGTCTCAAATGGCATAATTCCCGAATGGCATGAAAATTTCCCAAATGGCATAAATTTCATGTTGTAACGAGGAGTTTTACAAGGTTAAGTATGGAGACCAAATATGTTTGTCATAGCCAAATTAGTCCGCATACTAATTTTTGTAACAATCCGATGATGTGAACAAATTTTTAGTAAAAAATTTTCGCTGATGGGGGGAAGGAAAAAGAGCCCAATTTTTTAGTGGAACGACTGCTTTTATGAGGTTGATTATGAAGACCATATATGTTTGTCGTGGCCTTATTAGTCTGTATATAAATTTTCATAGCAATGGGACAATGTGGTCAACAAATTTACTTGTGAAAATTTGCAGGTGGGGGGAAAAGGAAAAAGAGCCATTATGCCAATTGGGAAGTTACCCAAAATCACGAATTACAACAAAAGTGGCGCGATATGCGAGTAGTGCCAAAAAAACCGCGAATTACCCTCTGATATTTTTCATTCCACTTTTCGGCTTTTGGCTCTTTTTCCTTCCCCCCCCCCCACCTGCGAATTTTTACATGTCAATTTGTTGACCACTTTATCGGATTGTTTTGAAAATTTACATACAGACTAATAAGGCCACGACAAACATATTTGGTCTCCATACTCAACCTCGTAAAACCACTCGTTACACTAAAAAAATGAAGCTCGTGTGAGGTGGGGGGAAAAGGAAAAAGGGCCCAGCTTTTTTCCACTTTTCCCCCACATTTCAAATTTTTATAGGTGATTTTACGTGATACAATGGCTAAATGCATGATGTTACGATGTAAATTATCAAAACAAATTTGTTCTCAATTGTTAGTTTCTTCACAATGCGAAGTTCCATTGCATTATGAAAATGTTGAAATGATTTTTCAAATTAAAACTCAAATGCGAAGGGAAGGCTAGTAGAAAAATAGTCCTCTTTTTCAGTCCCTTTTGCTAATTTTCTATATTCATAATAATTTTTCGAGCTATTATTGTTCAAAGCGTGATTTTTATTCATTGACTATGAAGAATACAAACTTCTCGTTTAGCATATTTTTTCATGCTATTATGGTTAAATGCATGATTTTTTTGCTGCAACGAGTGAAAAACAAAAAAGTTCAGAATGACTTGAACATATGAAATGAAAAAAAAATATGAAACCAAAAAAACTGAAATAAAAGCTACACTAGTGGGCAAAATTAAGCGCAAGTTCTGAATTTTACTCTCTAAAATGCCTGTTATCAATGTAAACTTTGCACAATGAACGTTTTGAATTCTTTCAAGTTTGACCAAAAATTTTTTATTGACCGAGAGCAAATGAGCAGAGCTACCATCTGTGAAAAAATCAATATTTGATTTCAATTACTTATCAAAGTAATCCGGGTCTGAAAATGCCATTTTTCGTCGTCTGAAATAAATTTTGCCACATACTGAAGTCAATTTTGATTAAACGGGTAAGAAATTTGCTCAATCGGCATGAAAAATTCTCAGCGAGAAGAAGGAAACAATCAGTGTGAAAATTTTACTAAAGTCACACGTTTGTTACTTTTTCACGCGAAGTGAAAGACTTAGTACAGAAGACGATATCTGGCTTTTTCAGATCTGGAGTACATAGGTAAGTCATTGAAACCAAATATTGATACTTTCACAGATGGTAGCTCTGCTTATTTGCTCTCGGTCAATGCAAAAATTTTTCTAAATTCCGAAGGAAATGTTGGCCAAAATATACATTGAAAACAGGCATTTTAGAGAGTAAAATTTTCAATTTGCGCTTAATTTTGTTGATTAGTGTATTTTGGCTAGACGGGTGGGCTCTTTTCCACTTTACCCCTACATTTCAAACTTTCTTTTTCATGTGTTTAAAATGATTGATTTATTCATCTCGCCATTTTTTATTGTATTATGACCACGTGGAAATTCAAAGATGGAGGAAGCAAACGCACAAATGGCTTTTTTCCATTTTACCCTTAATATTTCCAACTTTTAATGTTCAATTTACTTCCAAGGCTATTTTGGCTTGACGTGAACTTTTTCGCTGAAAGCTATGAAATTGATCCATTGACCATCCAAAGTTTCATTATACTTTTAACGTTGCGTTCTCTTAAAAAAACCGATAACACTAATTGTTCCGACTTTCGAAGAAAACGGAAAATTAATGCTCGGCGTGGTTTTTTTATTCAGTCAATTTTTGCCAATCAAATAATAGTTTTCGACAACATTTTATATACCAATAAAAATACCGACTTCCTGAGTTCAAGTCCATGAAACAATAACTAAAAATTTTCAGCTGTGCTATCAGATAAAAGGCAACTTAAAAAACCGATCACTGAAAACTACAAGTTAGGTTGAAAAAAGTGACCTTACAAGGTAATCTTGAAAAACTGGTTTGACATTATAACGCAATCTCGGCTTTGGTAACAATTCACGTTCGAAATCTCAATTCATAAACGCAAACAAGAAAAAGGCAAAAACTTTTTCTCAAAATAAGTGAAAAAAAGTTAAATAAAAAATAAGCCTTGAAAAACAAAACTTTCGACGCAATGGAATCGAACCTCCACTTTGGAGATTAGTAGTTTGACGTCCTCGTATCTACTCCAAGATCGCTTTGATTTTTACTAACACTCGCTACCAATCAATAAAGCAGCCATGGTTGCTATTGAATTACCAAAGCTATGCAAAAAAAAGTGCGGGCGCTTCGAAATCAACAAAAGTTAGCCTTCATGCCAGCTACATAATACTATGAAAATGCCAGTGCTTGAAAGAAGTGTCACCATGTGAGCACTTTTATTTGCCACTTAGGTTGGAAAAAATTGCTTTGTATTATTACGCTCCGCTTGAGTAATTTGAAATTGAAAAATAGAAATAAAAAATCTTACAAAATCTAAACTTCAGCGCGTAAACAATCTAAAGTTTTTTTATAAACTACCAAACCCGGGCGATCTAATGAGTGAAAATTCACTTCGTTTGACTATTATTACGGAAACTAAATCTGCGTCACTTGCTTTTAGGAGTTAAAACTTCTCCACATGATTTTTTTAACTTGCTTGCTAACTCGTCAAGGTGTCTATTAACTTTTCTCATTGAGTATCACGAGAACACGAATAATCTAATACTCAATTATGTCACATCGGTATTTAAATTCAATAGTGATTTGTATTTATTTTGTAACGCTAAGTTTATTTATTCTTTGACGAAGAACTGTGCGATTAAGTTAGCTACACCGATGACGCATATTGATCCATTCAGCAAAACTGACCACTTTGTCAGCTTTCCTTCCATCCTCTGACGTTGCATGATTCCGAGACATGGCAAGATAGAGACATAAACTGCTCCAGAAATTGCTCCGGAGAATCTGCAAGGGATAAAAGATAAATTATGAGCCAAATGCACAAATGATCTTACAAGCAGGGGCGGACGCCCCCCCCCCCCCCCCCAAGGATTCGCATCTTCACCAGACGCCCCTCCCCCCTCCCCCATTTGCATCTTCACCACCCAAGAGGCACCCTTTTGGTATAATTTTACGACATCCATTTTTGACCAATTCAGCCTTAAATTTTTCTAAAGGTGCTTTTGGCGCCAACTTATACTAACTTTGAGGGGGAACGCTTGCTGAAAAACCCCTTTTTTTGTCAAAACCTTCCAAAAGTGCCGAAAAACAACGTTTTTGGCCTGTTTCTTCAAAAATTTGCCTGTGGTGTTAAAATAGTGTTTTCATGGTGCTTTAGGAGAGCTCGGAAAATCAATTTGGTCGATCTAAATAAGTCATCAAATTTTTCGGAAAAAATTGAAGTTCATCGATCAATCCAACGTCAATTAACAAATCTTCCAGCAATTACCAACCATGTCCTCATAAAATCCCCTACTCCCAACCTCCTCAGCTGCAGAAAATACACCCGAAAAACTTTTACCGGTAAGGGCTGATGTTTTCACTATATTCACCTTGTGACAGTTCCGATGCTGGGGATGATGAAAGCGACAACTGCACAGAGACAGATAGCGATCAGATTCAGAGACACAATCTGCACGTATCTGAAGACACAAAACACGAAAAACATAGCCAAGAGACAGCTGCAAAAGAGTCAATTAACGCAAGTAAAATGCAAAAAAAAACGGACTAATATTTTGAAAGTCTCAACTTTCGATTTTCAAAGAAAAAAACTATATGTAACTAATTGAAGCTCTTTGAATTTCTAGAACAACCTATGATTTGCAATTTTTGTTCAAATAATCCCAAATTGAGAAAACTGGATCAAAAGGTAAAATTTCATTTCGCTTAGAAATCTGATAAGCCGATCACGTTTTTCGTGACTTTTACACTTTCGCTGTTCGATAGTTCAGTTTGCCTTGCTTTTAACAAAGGAACTTAAAAATAATCGGAAGTCAAACTGCGAGAAAATAATCACGTTAAAAAAATATATCAAGCCGAAAAGTTCTACGTCATACTTTAACAGAAGCATAACATCAAGCACTACTAAGGACTACTAATGCGTTTATTGTCCGTTTTCCCATTCTGGCGGGGTTGTACATTCGAAAAGAGCGTGCGCAATGGTATATCAGAATAGCTAGACAAATTCCAGCATTGAGATGAGGGCATTCTACATAACATTCAAGCTATTTAATGATAGATAAAAACTTTTTCCATGCTATTTGACCGAATCAGTCTGTGGGTTTGATTATTGAAGTTCTCACGTCCTGTTCAACCACATTCATCCAGCGTTCTTTAAAACTTACTGCTGGCATTTTCTCTGGGACAAACACGGTCAGCCAATTTTAGTGCATGGTAATTTTCTCTTTGGTGAACAGGGCTAAAACATCGTGATACTAGCCTAGACCCAAATCAGCAAGACCTGTTATTTTGATTACGACTTCATTATTAATTATGTCTTTATAAAAGACTCCTGCAATCCTACGCAGGGCTTTCATATCACCACTCTTAAAATAGCTAGAAATCGCTGTGGTCTGCTCCCAGATTTCAAAGCAGTACTTCAGAATTGACCGTAGACAAGCTCCGTAGATATGACACCTTGTCACCAAGTCAATATCTTTTTTCAACAGCAGAGGTGCAGTTTGCCACCATTTCGTCCAGAAAGCAGCTATTATGACCAATGATGCACGTATTGCGTCATTCTCACCGAAAATCAAGTCACCCAGATAGCAAAATTCTTCGACAGTGACCAGGGTTTCAGATTGATTATCCGTAGAGAAGCATTCTGATTTGAGCGATAAGTGGAAGAATTATTGCATCTTGGACAAACATAATTAGTATTTTGTTTAGGTATTTTGTTCAGACCACCGCATTTTTATGCACCCACTGATTACAAATGCAGCGTTTTGAATTAGCGCCGACTCTCTTTGAAGAACAATCGCATGGAAACTTTCCAAAAGCTTTTTCAAACGGCCAAAAGCTTTTTCAAAATCAACAAATGTGATGCAGGGTTTTTCTAACCGCAAAAAAACTCCCTCAATTTTCTAATAAAAAACAACACCTATTGTATATCAAGCCGATGAATTATTCATCCCATTTTAAAGTAAATTCCGTCATCCAGTATTATGTCTGATTTCATCTTCGGAAAATTTGATAACTAGCAGCTATTTTTAGGCGGCTGTTAGCCAACATAAACAGAAAAATTAAGGTAACCTGGGCCTAAAACTTGTGATGGTTGTTTCAGGGCTGGTGGTTTCAGGGCAGCGCAACCATATTTACTCATAGAAGCAGCTGCGCTTCGCAAACGCACGCAAGGAAAATGCAAAAAAAGTGTTTTAAAAAGGCAAAACAAAAATATTTTCAATTATATATTTAACTACCATTGAAATGCGTAATTTTCAACAAAACGGACTGTACGCTAAACTCTAGTGTTTCTCTGCTTAAGTAGGGGATGAACCGCTTATTTGAAGGAGAAAACTACAACTCGCTTTGGCAATTGAAGTCATTATCTCCGATTTGGCTGCTTAGTTTTCGAAAAAAAAAAGTGAATAAGATTTCAAAGATCGACTAAAAACTCAAAAAACTTTTTTATAGTAAAGCATTGGAATTTGCCTCTGCTTTCCACACCCTGATTTTTAGATTGCAGATTTCAGCACCCTGATTTTGTGGATTGAACCCTTAGTATCAGATTTAGTTAGTAGTTTTCGAGAATAGTGACAAATTTCTATAAAAACCGGTTATAATTTGGAAAGGACTTCTCCGAAGTTGATATCAACTTTTCTGCAAAAAAACAGGGTAAAAAGATTACGCAAGCAAAATCTAAGCGTAAATTTAATGAACTACCAACCTCAGAATTAGCTCATTAGTTTTTGAGGAAGAAAATTAATTTACCAAAAAACGGGCAAACATTCAAAAAGTGGACATTTTCTAAGACCATATTTTTTCACAAAGAGGTGAAGATGAGTTTCGCGCCACTTGCGATACAGAACGAGAAAAATTGAGAAAAAAATTTAAAATGTCAAAAGACTAGATCGATCAAAAATAATAGGGCTAGTTTTAAACAAAAAAAAAACGAGCCAAGAAAATTGAATGTAAAATTCGCATCATTACAAAAATTACCGAGCGGCAACAATACCGAAAACACCTTAGAGGAAACCCTTTACGCTGAAAAAAATCAATAAGACTTAAAAAAGTTTAAAAGTCCCCTCACCCTCAACACACACACACACAAATTTTATTCACCCATGAAATGAAACAATATGAGGCCACTAAACCCGTAAAAAGTAGTCCCAAAACTAAGCCGAAAAAAAACTTTAAAAAAGCCGAGAAAAATTCGAAAAAATTAAGACTATTAAACGTTATTACGCTACGATCACCCTGAAAACACAATAAAAAATTTTTTTTGCTCGTTGAAAGGCACAATATGCGGCCACTGAGCCAATATAATAAAATCCCAAACTTACTGAGCCGAAAAAATACAAAGGGAAAATTCAAAAAATTTAAGACTACTTAAAAGTTATTAAGGCCCCCTCACCCTCAAAACACACACACAAAAAAAATCTTTTATGAACCAGGGTTACCACTTCGTTCAGATCAAAAATCTGACCACAGATATCATCAAAAAACTGACCATTTTGCTGACCTTTTTCATATCTGAACTACAACTATGCAGGCAAATTTTTGAAAAAACAGTCAAAACAGGCTTTTTAGGCACTTGTTGGAAAATTTTGACTAAAAAATTGCGTTTTTTCGGCGCGCGCTACCCCCTCAAAATTAGTATATATTGGCGCCAAAGGCGCCTTTAGAAAAACTTTAGGGCCGGTCGGCCAAAAGTGGATTTCTTAAAAAGTACCAAAGGGGGGACCTTTTGGGTCGGCAGGGGGTCAAACATACATTCTGACTTTTTCTGACCTCCGACCAAATAACTGATCAAATCTGACTGGTCAGAAAAATCTGACCAAGTGGTAACCCTGTTATGAACGACGCAATATGCAGCCACTAAGCTGAATATATTATAGGCCGAAACCTATCAAGCCAAAACAGAAGAAAAACAAGAAAACTTAACAATCCAGTAGGTTAAATGACAAACATCAAAAAAAAAAACGACCAGAACAGATTAATAAAATCCCAACAAGCACGAAATAGGTCTGGTACCCGATTGCAGAACCCTTGTTTATTGCAAGGATAAGAACGCAAGGCAAACCCGCTAGCGCAAGTGAGATTCGCATACTTTTTTTCTTTCGGTTATGCCCTTAATCTCCGAGTTTGCAGGGTAGTTTTTGAGAAAAGTCAAGTTTTCAAAATTTATGTAAATTTCAAAAATGGGCTTGTTTGAGGCCATATCTTTTTCTTCTACCAAAATTAGGGAAAGGCAGCTTGAGAAAGGGAGATTCCCATATTTTGTTCTTTTGATTAAAACCTTCATTCTCATATTTGTGCATTTAATATTTGAGAAAATGAAAAAAAAAATTCAAAATTAGGCCAAATAGCCTCCTACTGAAACTTTGGAAGGCTGTAGAGCGTGATGTAAAAGGAAAAAAAGACAAGCGATAAAGGCAAGCACATAGAAGCGCAGCCGGTTTTTCATTTGGTGTTTTTAACATTTTTTAAAATCGGTGCAGTAGTTAATGAAAAAAATTGAAATTTCTGAGATAATTTCAAAAATTTTGCAAAGCCTCGCAAAAAAAAATAACAAATCCCATACATTTTCATATAACATGTTTTCTTCAAACAGGACGTGATACTAGCCGAAAACTAAGCCGAAATCTACATTTAGTTGCAATTTAGGTTAGAAAAAATTGTTTGTGCTAATACAGAACGCTTCGCTTGTGTAAACAGCTTATGCGATAACTGACAACAAGAAACAACTCACATTAAAAGACAACTCGCATTAACAGACAACTCGCAAAATACTCAAAAACGCAGTCGCGCCAATATGATGCGAGCTTGCCAGCAGGGTAGACTTTATACAAAACTAAGAGCCTATCGGCGACCCAAAATCACAATTCTATAGTTATAAATTAATTTTATGTGTTTGCGAATTATCTCTTTCCTAAATATTTGCGAGTTGTCTTTTGCTTTTGCTGCGTTACCACAAAAGGATCTTGAAAGCGCACATATCGACCTTTCATTGCATACATGATGTAATATACTAACGATGGATCTGAGTTGTGGAAGAATGAGTAGTAGAACTGCAGTCTGACAACATAGGCAAGAAGAGGGAACACAGCCAGCATCTGGAAGAAAAGGAAGATACGGCCGACAAAACTGAAGATGTCCGAAGACCCGAAGTTGTCCAGCAGGTTCTAAAAAAATCATAATAAACGCTATGTTTTCACTCAAAACCGATCGAATCTGTATTCAGCATCAAAACCAAAAAAAAATATTATCTTTAAAAACAGTTTCGAAAAAAAAAACGCGAAACAGGATCCCGGTAAGACAAAAAACTAATTTAAATCCATCACTAATAATGTCAAAAACTGAAAATTGATATCTTAATTTAGTACAAAGGGGGGACCTTTTGGGTCGGCAGGGGGTCGAATACCTCAGGGGGGGACCCGTTAATCCTAAGCCGCAGCCCTGAATTTACAATACGGAAAATTTTGCGGAGATGGCGCATACATACCTGTTGGATGCAGCTCTTGTTGAGTGGATATGACAGGTAGAACACAAATCCAGAGCAGAGGTACGTACACAGTCCCACCATATAGCCCAGAATCACATCTCGGGTCTAGAAAAAAACATCACAGCTTTTTTTCAATCGCGAGACTTGTTCCCCTGAATCCCCGCATTGAATTCTGCAGATGACTATATCAAAATGGTCGGACTAGATCTTGGAATGCGCAAGTCAGTTAAGTTATTACTGGTAAGAACACATTTTAGCTAAAACTTCAAAAAGCATTATCAAAAAAATCTGAAATGACGGGTATCCTTCAGATACTGCGAGAACATATTATACAGCAGGGACATATTATCTGAGCAAAAAAATTTCGAGATATGGCATAAAAATTAGATTTTAGCATTTGTGCAGATGAGAAGTCATATGCGCTGATGATTGCTTTGATTGATTCATAGTGGCGGTAAACTGAAAAGTCAGAAAATTAAGCAACCATTAAAACTTTAATTCATTGACATGCAATTGCTCGACTTTCCTTTTTCTCTTGATTGAAATAGATAGAAAACCTGATCAAAGGTATAGAGGAATCCCGTTCGGTAAACTCATTAAAAATGAAAAAGAAGTGATATCCATTCGAGTATTGATACTCAATGTACCTGATTGGTACTCAATAAAATGCACAGAACAATTAGGAATAGTAGGCGATCAGCTTGGTATCATAAGAGGCTAATAGGGCATCAGCTACGCCTACACTGAGGGAGTGATTAATTTTAGTGCAGTTGTAACTTTTCTATAAAGGATTTAACGTAGAGTTGGTCTCTCTGCCCCGCCCCCCCCCCCCCCGCACAGCATTGATAACACATTTATCAAAATACGGTTTAAATAAGGAGTTTCTTCATCTTTTTCTCGCAAACATCGATACGAGTCGCTCAAGTATGCTGAAAACGGATCAAAAAAATTATACTTTATTTAAGTTTTGAGAACCTTGGATATTAGCTATTTCCAATAAAACTACCCCAATTCAAAAACATATCCTTCAGACAGTTAGAAACGAGTCAATGAACGCAAGGAAAAAAATACTGACTTGTTTTTTTGAATAATTATCAACATTCGAATTTCGAACGACAAACAAATAAACTTAAATCTCTTTGAATTTTCAGAAAACTTATGATTGACACATTTTTAAACATAGCCAATCGAAGATTGGAAAAGAGTAATGAACGCAAGTAAACAAAAATACATTGACTTTGCTGAAAAAATCTCAACTTTCGAATTTCACAGAAAAAAATAGATGCCCTTTAAGCTCTTTAAATTTCTAGAACGATTTATGATTGGCACTTTTTTGCTAACATCAACCCAACTTGAGAAAAGCGGATCAACAATTAAACTTTTCATTCTGCTGGAAATCAAAAAATTAAATTCCACGTTCGAAACTTGAAATCGTTCACGTTTTTTTGCGCCATTTCCACGTTCGCATTTGGGGAGTGCTATTTACGTCAGTTTCAGCAGATGAATTCCAATTGAATTCAAAAAGTGCATATATACCAGTGCATTCATAAATGCATCAATGTGTATGAATGCACATCTGTTATTAGAGACTTTTATGCACCTTTTGAGACTTTTTCCTGAAAAAAAAAAACAAAAAAAATCAGCAAGACCTATATAAGAGTCTCCACTACGTTCATTACTCTAAGTAAAACTAACCCAATTTTCGAAAATTGGATCAATAGGTTAATTTTTTTGTTTCGCTGGAAAAAAATAAAAATTCCACTTTCAAAACTAGAAGTCTATCGCGTTTTCGTGATCTTAACACTTTTGCTATTCGATTGAGGAGTTTGCCTTAAAAAGAAATCAAAAGTCAAACCGCGAAAAAATAAATTTGAGCATGAGGAGCAAACTTTAGGAATTTTCCTAAAAAAACAAATCATCACGACTTATATTAGATTCTGAACTATGTCTTAAAATTTGGTTTCAGAGATAATTTTAACATCAAAAAAAATCTGAGCATGGAAACATTTTTTAATTTTTTTTTCAAATAAATAGCCTAAATAAGTGCCTTCACTTCATTCGTTGACACTTAGAAACCACATGGCCTATTTATAAAGTCTATGCTTCGGTCATTAACACTTAGAACGAGCTTTAATATCTATGAAAAAGATTTCGATAAAAAAACTTCAAAAAATGAAAATTTTTAAAATTTTTACCCATACGATAAGTTAAGAAAAAATTTTCAAAAAAATAGCCTAAATAAGTGCCTTCACTTCATTCATTGACACTTAAAAACCACATGGCCTATTTATAAACTCTTCGCTTCGCTCATTAACACTGAGAACGCCCTTTAATATCTATGAAAAAAAATTTTGATAAAAAAACTTTAAAAAATGAAAATTTTTACCCACACGGTAAGTTAAGAACAAAATGATGTTTTTAGTTTCTAGTAACCTCTTAATAGGATCAAATTTCTCGCCTCAATTCCACCAATTAACTAGTGTCGTTTTATTTAGGAACTCACATTGTTTTCAGGGTTTTTCTGATTTCTCAGCACCGTAACTGCTGCATTATGCGAGAAAAAGGCCAGCATTGCAATTCCACTGAGTGATGCAAATTGAGCTCCAAACACTGAAAAAAATGAACCCTTAAAAGAATATTTTTCTGTGAACGACTTTTCGCAGCAGACACGGAACAAGAATTCTAAACGGATTAGATTTTTTGCATCTGCCCTCTAAGAAATCCGCCCTCTCTTTAAACTAACCAAGTGAATGATATAAAACTTTATTCAGAATTTAAAGGAACTCTAATTATCTTCGAAATGAAAAACATTTATTATAACATTCGAAATATAAATATTTAGGCACACAGCGAGTCGATCTAACTTCACTCACATGGCACATTTGACTCGTCTGGGAATGGATAGTTGAGATCAGTCACATTGACGCCCCAGAAGCAGGCCTTCATGATCAGAAAACACATCACGTAGACGACCGAAACTGTGCCTGAAAATAGTACACAACTTATTTTCAACACATTGAAGCTCGAACTGAACTAGCTAATTTTGAACCGGGCAAACTCTTTCTTTTCGAATTTAGCAAGCCAACATAGATAACATTTCTGGCTCTTTTTCCTTTCCTTCCTCTCCCCCCCCCCCCCCCCACCTCACTCAAACATGAATTTTATGGTCTAACGAGTGCTTTTACAAGGTTAATTATGAAGACCAAATATGTTTGTCATGGCCTAATTAGTCTGCATGTCAATTTTCATGACAATCGGACAAAATGAAGAGTAACTTCAAATATAAAAATTTGCAGGTGGGGGGAAAAGGAACAAGAGCCACATTTCTAATCCAAACCTCATCAACTATTTTTTTAGTCAATCAGCCCGGAGGCCTAACCCGGAGGTTAATTATTTAGGACCTGAGCGCATATATTCAGCGTCCTTTAAGCTATGACTGACTTGCAAAAGCTCACTTGCAGCGCACGTGTGATTTAAACCAGCAATCATTTGATTGCTGGACACCATCACTACCAAAGCGCAACAATGCCAATACAATTTGCCAAAAACATCAAAAAAAGCCATGTGGAGATGAGAAAAATTTTCCGGACTCATTATGACCTTATGATAATGCAATACCTATGGCTGCATCGAGAACTTATTTTATATTCAAAATTGAATGAAAAAAAATCACCAGCAGTGGTGTCCGTTTGAAAAATAAAAATTAATATTCATTTCAAAATTGGGCTCTTTTCCAGTTCCTCCCCCCTTTCAAATTCAATTTTGAAAAGTCTATTTAACGTTGTTATAATGCAATGAAATTTGGCGTGGTGAACAAATCGACAACTGTGAACAGATTTGCTCTTCATACTTTACAGCGTACCATCACGCCTTTAGCCGTAATAACAAGTAAAACAAACATAAAACTCGGTATTTAGAAAAGGGGGGAACTGGAAAAGAGCTGGAACTGGAACTGTTCAAAAAATTATTCGAACTTTTGTCTACAATTTAGGCTCTTTTCCAGTTCTCCCCTTTCAAAATACTGAGTTTTATATTTGTTTTACGTGTTATTACGGCTAAATGCGCTGTAAAGTATGAAGAACAAATCTGTTCGGAATTGTCGATTTGTTCACCACGCCAAATTTCATTGCATTGTGACAACGTTAAATAGACTTTTCAAAATTGAATTTGAAAGGGGGGACTGGAAAAGAGCCACAATTTATTCCTATTTCTTGATTCAGCGGAAAAAGTAAAAGATCTGAGTATTCACAACAGAATTTAAAATTTTGTTGTAAATAGATGATTTCGATTTCTTTTCCGAAAAAACTGATTTCGATTTCATTTCTCAAAATAGCAAAAAGCACCCAAATTTGGCAAAAATTTGCAAAAAAATACATATTTCAGTAAAATTTAAACTGCTGATGAAAATGAACAGTTTCGGCAAATTTTAAAATTTAATTTGTTCCGAAACTATTTAAATCTCAACTTCAACAGCAATTTAAATTTTTCTAAAATCTGTTTTTAGCAGTTTTTTTTGCCAGCCAATATTGAGTACTTTTCGCAATTTTGAGACAAGAACTCGAAACAATTTTTTCGGGCATATCTATTAGCAACAAAAATTTCTAAATGTTGTCGTGAAGACAGATTCTTTGCTTTTTCCGATGAATTCAGAATAAAATAAATTGGCGCAAGCAAAGAGCGTACTTTGGCGCCCTATCAAATTCCGCTCGCGCAATTTAAATATTTTTCTAAAACACCTATTCTTAATGCATAGGATCTTAAAATCAAGATTAAGACCATTTATCCACGGGGGAAAGGACCAACACAAGAGCTGTACAGCTCATCACTGCAAACCGCTGTTGCGCCTCTGTTTAAGAACTACGTGCAATTTTTTTTGGTTATTTTTCTGGGCTGGGTAATGTCGCTTCACCCTCAAGCAACGAGCACGGTTCATGGTGGGCCTCGAACATCCGACCTTTCGATTGAGAGGCGGAGACGTAACCACTTCACTAACGCTCCCCGCTGTATTAAACATTGCTGTATTTCCCGTCTTACTACATAGCCTTCGGTATCAGAAATCTATAACGGATTTTAATATATGGCCCACACCTCCCAACAACAGTACTCAATCAAAACTCAACAAATCTGTGAGACGGTGGTGGAATCCCTTCTGACACATGATCCAAATGGCATAAAACTAAATTAACCAATCAAAACTAGCTTTAAGTTTTTTGGAAACGCTCTTTTGCAACAAGAACACTGGAGAATGTGAGACTTACCGAGAGAGTTGAACTTGGTGAAGAAGGTGGGACTCTTGAAATTGATGAGAGGCGCCACGAGAAGAATGAGGAAGAAAGGCACTGTGTTGGTCTGATCCCACACTTTCTTGTATATTTCACTCTCGCCGCTGTCTGTGCTGAAGGGAGTGAGACCAGATGAGTTTTGGCTGTCTCGGAAACAGGAGTAGTAGAAGGAGGAGTTGGTATGCTCAGTACAGATACCTGATCAGAAAAATTAACATCATAAGATTTGGCTCTCTTCCAGTTCAATCCGAAAGTTTCTCTTAAATTCATTTTAAGAAAACCTATTCACTACATGACTTGTGATGTCCGTAACTGCAATTAAACGTGTCAGCGTAGAACAAGTGCACTAACTTTTTTGCATACAAATTACGATATAAACAATTTTAAAAAAAAAACAGCAATTGAACCGCACGAGGGGCTGGGAAATTCGAAACATAGCCAACTGACAGTTAGAAAAGAGTAATGAACGCAAGGAAACCCTAATTGTTTTTTCAAAAGTCTTCAACTTTCGAATTTCGAGGAAAAAATAGATAGCCTTAAAGCTCTTTGAATTTGTAGCACAATTTATAATGAACATTTTAAAATTAAAACTAATCCAATTTGAGAAAACTGAATAAATAACTAAAACTTTTATTTCGCTGGGAAATCTGATTATTAATTTCCATTTTCGATATTAGAAGTCGATCACGTTTTTGTGACCTTTCCAATTTTGCTGTTCGATAGTGGAGTTTGCCTTCCTTTTAACAATATAAATGAACTGAATTTAAATAAAATCACACGTCACGCCGCGAAAAATCAAAATTGAGCGTGAACAAACTTTAAGACTTTTTCCTGAAAAACAAATCAGCAAGACCTATATAAGAGTACTCACTAAGTTTATTACTTTTAAAAAGCCAAAGATTTCCATCGATATCATAACATCTCATATCTTAATAACATCCACATATCGCCGGTTTTGCTTAATAAATATAACGTTAATTAGTACATAACGTTAATTAATAAATATAACACAAAAATAAGTAAATGACAGGCGACCAGTTATGTTCCTCTAACGTCCATTTCAAAATTAAAATTTGATTACCTTTCAAAAAACTTCAACTTACACTCTTTGTAGTCGTCACTATGATCCACAGAGCCAGATGAGATCGAATCTAAACACATAAGGCTACAAAAGTGATAAACCTTTCATGATTTATAAGTTTTGTGATAATATTCGTGATTTAGGTTGCTTGTTTAGGTGAAGTTCAATGTTCACAACTGTTTTTTTTTTACTTTTACAGCTGTTTCCAGCATACTGTTTCCAGCATATTGACAGGCAAAACAGTCCTATTAAATCTATATCACTATTTTAGCTAATCAGACACGTTCGACCAAAAACCGAGAAAAACTGATGTCGAAAATCACAAATTTTTGCAAATGATCAAAATACAAGATCAAAGAAATCGAGTTAAAGGAAAGTGGGATTCTATAATAACATTAATCGGCCGATGGCGAGGGTCTAAAAGTCGGAAAAACTCAGATCCTAAATAAGAATGAATTCATTTCTGTGATCCAAATTTTACAGACAAGCGAAGATGAGCTTCTACGTGTAAGAGAAAATGAGACGAAAACCAATAAGTCGGCAAAATAGTTGAAAATGTCGAAACAACTGCCTCTGCCAAAAATTTTATCTTGGCTTGGGATGATTTCTTACCAACTATGAATGAAATGTCATTGTAGAGGAAGTTGGTCATGAGAATCCAGTAGGCGAACATAGCACCAACGATGGCTAAGAGGGAACAGATTACAGCCGCCCATTTACCCACTGGACCCAAGTAGTGCTGACATACATCCGAAAAGTCCACAGGTTTACCCCCGTTGAAATTGGCCTCTGAAACCATATTTAGTTTTGTCAACATTTGGAGAGAAATGATCAAGTGGCCAGGGCCTATGGCTCTTAATCAAAAGGTTAGAGTGGTTCGAGACTCGCCATTATAATTGTCAGTCGCTAACGGCCAAATCAATACTGAGGAAGCATTTCACAATTATATAACTTTTTTTACAAGATTTTGAGCTAACTAACCAGCCCATTTTTCTGAACTTGTATTTGTTGAAAAACAAGAATATGAGAAAATAAAAACAATACATATCGGCAAAAAATATTTCCCAAGTCATTGAAAATCTATGCCATTACTGATCCCACCCAACTTTATTCATGAAGATAAGAACTTCATCCAGAAAAAGATGAGATCACTTTAAAAATCGCCTGTGATCACTTAAAAAATCACGTAAAAAAATGTAATCACTTAAAAAATCACCTAAAGATGTGATCACTTAAAAAATCACGTAAAAAGATGTGATCACTTAATTAGTCATGTAAAAAATGTCATCGCTTAACCAACATCCTGACAAACACTAACCGTATGTGAAAGTAAGATTGACAACGACAAGAACCGTGTAGCAAGCTAAGGCACACATGAAGAGAATGAGGAAGAGGCCCATGAGAAGTCCAGCCTGCTGGATGGCCCAGGGCATTGATAGACTGCTGGTGCCAATCATCAGGTTGCCAATCGCAAAACTAAACATAATAACAGTTGCGATCATGGCTCGATTTTGTCACAATATTTATCTGAATTGATTCAAAGTTGCAGGACCACCCTGCTAATTTTGAACCCCGCAATGAAAAACTCCTACGGATTACGTAATGCAGCGTATCAAACTCAAAAGTCAGAAAACAATTTTTTTTAATCTGGATAAAATCAACTTGTTTGAAAAATGTTTTCATTTTTTTGCCTTATTTCTTGATAATTTTTCAGAATAAAACATTGCCAACAAACAGTTGGAAGATTCAATGAACGCAAGTAAAGAGAAAAAACACTGACTCATTTCTGAAAAAAACTTCAATTTTCAATGTACAAAATATATAGCCTGACTGCTCTTTGATTTTCAAGACAAATTTAATATTGACACTTTTTCGATAAAATTATTCCATTCAAGAACACTGCGAGATCTAAAAATTAAAATCTACTTTCGGAACGAGAAATCGATCACGTTTTTTTTGTCTGTTTATTGATGCCATGATAGATTAAAGTAGAAATAAGCCTCGAATTAGCAAAAACTCGGCTACGTGTAGGACTCGAATCGGCGACCTAGTGCAATTAAGAGATTTTGAGTCTCACGCACGATCCATTCAGCCACGCAAGCTTAACAAATGACAATACTTGTCACGAATAAAGCAGCTACATATGCTAATAAATTGCAAGTGCATTTCAGCAAAAATGGCACCAAATACAAATAGACTCAATTTTGCAAGTAAAAATTTGGAATATAAGAAACTGAAGGCATCCACACTAACTTTGCATGTAACAAATCGCAAAGCATAAAGCCACATTATGCGAAAATTATGCATTTCAAGAAACTGCGAGATATATTACTTAGAAAATTTCTGAAATCGAGTTATTATTGTTGTTGTTGGAAACAAAAAACTTTCGATGCATCGACTGTGTTAACTTATTACTATTCGAATGTCAAAGAACATGCTATGAAAAGCTGTAAAGGTGCCCCAAAAGTGGTACCAATATTTGCGACTTAGGTTGGAATAAAAATAAGGTTCGTAATAATACACTAGCTTTGCAAGTGTAAACACGTTATGAATGGCTGGTGAATCAGCGCCTCTAAAGCCGCAGTTTCATTTTTTGATATAGCCGGATTGTTTGAAATAAATTCATCAGCCACGAATAAAAACTTTCGCCCAGCATCTCTATATGTTGCAGCGAAAATGACAAAACCTGGAAAAATATTCGTTCATTTAATCAGTTGAAAACTTCTTTGTCCCGTGATTGTTTGCCTCAAATTTTAAAAACTAACCAACATTTTGATTAGTTATCGCGCGCATTCATAAAAAATTAAGGATGCCTAAATTTCCATTCGTCATCTTTTCTATTGTCAAGAATAAGACGAAAACCGTACAAAAGAAACTCTCTAAAAATAAGGAGTCCATTGAATCCTCAAATTTTGTGAAAGAATTTTCTTTCAATTTTTGACACAGCGAAGCTGGAATGACGTTCTATTTGCGGTGAATACACATCCAGAAACAAAACGAAGGCATTTAAAAATTCAAAAACAATTATCTAGCGGCAACTGAGGGGACAAAACTTGGTTAAATTCTAGTATAGTACAACCAAAAAGAAAACTTGTCACGCAGAACTTCGAATTATACATTCTATTCTAAGATTTTATGCAATTTGTGCGAACAAGAGGGGAGCATTAAAATTTTGTTTGCCTTAAAACGACCCAAAAAATAGTCAATGGGCTGAGCCGATAAATTAAATGCCGAATTAGTTGGGACCGATTAAATTTGTTAGGCGAAACAAAAAAACAAAGAAGGAAATACAAAGTAGAGCTATTAAAATCAGGAAAATCAAAAAACTTAAACCAACTACAATGATAACTGCGTCTTGCGAAAAAAATCTGTTTTGTGGCAACTAAGCCGACAAAACAAGCAGACAAATAATAGGACGCCGATTTTAGTTGAAACAGAATTTCACCCGTATGAAAAAAAAGGTCCTGGTCAGATTTGAACCCTGGACCTTAGCTGTCCCACGCGTATTCGTTACCTCCAGGCTACGTGTGCCGCAAACGCTAAAAATTTGAATCCATTAAGAATCGAGAAACCACCAGAGGATGATTCTTCTAAGCGAAGTTGTTGACTAGGGAAAAAAGTCTAGCACCCGGTTGCAACAATAAGCCAGGGTAAAAATAAGCTACAATTCGTAAATAATCACATTTAGTAAAATCTTCAAGGAATTATGGTATTAATTACTGACATGGTGACTATAGAACTCTGTTTGACACCTGGCTCGATCGGGAGCACAGCGTAGAATGACAGTGGGATGACATGTGAAGGCACTTCCTGAAAAAAAAACAGACAAATAAAATTAACCGTTTGAGGACAAAAAAGCTGTAGATTATTTATTATTTCACACAACTAATTGCAGCGTGAAGTAGATGAAAAATCGAGTAGTAACACTAAGTGATTTTACTCGAAGTTCTAAAACTGACAATATTGAAATCATAACACAACCCCCAAAGAAATATAAATGTGATCAATTAGCGTTTTAATTTAGCAATATCAGAGCACTTTAAAGAAGGAAATCAATTAAGAGCTGGTATTGTTGGTATCGATGTGGATCAATAAGTAAATTTTTTAACCCGCTGTAAATCTGTGAAAAGTTAAATCCACTTATAGACTTAAAATTCATTTGACTCTAATTATAAAAGAGCATAATTTGCCTTCCATTCGGTAAATGATTTTGAAATAAACTAAAAAAATCAAAAAATTAAAGGTTAAAATTTCAGAACTGAGCGTGAAAAACTTCAATGACTTTTTTTCAATAAGTTCAGTGACAGTTTAAAAATCACAAAAATTGCTTAAAATCATATGACCAAATATAAGCTGACAGTGTTGGCTACCGTTTCATATAACTCTATGAAGATCAGATAAATATTACGTGAAAATATATTTATAACAAAAACCTTCCAGCCCAAGAGGGCCAGACTTTGCAATCATCTCAAGTCCGTTATTAATGGTCTTCAATGAGTATTTATCATTTGCCACTTATAGTGCAACTAATTAATTGCAAAAACCCTTAAATAATAACCATAACAAGGATAGCCGGGTTGCAGTGCGAGTAACACAAAACGTTCAGACTACAAAAAAAAACAAATATTATTTTATATTTTCCAAATAATGTTTGTTGTTCGTGGTGTGAAGAGAGGATCTGAGGGAAAGCTTAAGTTGTTCCAGAATTTTTTCGAGCTCTTTGAAAATTATTCACGAAAAGAAGCCGCTAAAACTACCTTCAGAAACTATTTTTTTGAAGTAAAACTAATTTATATTCCTTAGTTTGAATTGTGAGCTTATTATAAGCCTGCTCGCTCGCTTTATTCGCTCGAAGTTAGTTTGGAAAGCAAAAATTTCACACCACTTTTCTCGACACAGCAAAAACTTCGAAAATTTTTCACTTCAAAATGATATTTCACTCGACCAATTCTTGATTTCGCGCGAGAAAAAAATATAGAAAACAAACGCATTCGAAGACAAAGTTACTCCCCATTATTAGCGCTCGGAACACTAAATATAATGCCTTACCTCTTGAAAAAAAGAGTGCTTGCCTCGTTGCTGATAAAAATGAGCACAGACGAAGCAGCATTGCGCAAACACAAAAAGCGGGTAAAAAGAGCTATGAAAATTCAAAAAGTGGAACGTGCTGCGGTGGTTGAGCACGTCGGGCGAAAACTACGTTGAAGATCCGGTTTTGGTAGGAGATCGGTTCGGGTGGGAGGGATCAAAAATTCTTTAAAAAAATTGACAGCTGGGTTTTATGAGCTGGGCGGTATGAGTCTGACGATTTGAAATCCTTGTTAGTTTTCGGGAATTTTGTTTAGAGAAAACGTTTGATAGAAATGCTTTTGTTACTGATCCGATATGTTCAAAATGAACTGTGCCTAGATAGTCCAGACCTAATGCTTTTGAAATCTTTACAGCTTTGATGTTTACAGAGCAATTTACAGAGCGGCAAAACCTAGTGAGCCTTCGAAGCTAAGTTTATGGGCTGTCTCCAAGAGTTGCTCTTCAATATTTATACCTTGTGAACCTTCAACTAAGTATATTGCACGTTAAAAGCATTTTCAATGTCTACCAAACGTGAAAATTTTTGTCGTTGAAAAATAGGCGGGTTTGTACAACAGACTTGTTGCCATTTACAGACTGGGCCAATTTTCAGAACTTACTGGACAACGTCGCGTGGTGATTTAGAGTCTGAAGAAAATCTCGCAATTTCTTTCCTTTGTATTTTAGTGGTTTTAGCCATCGTCTCTTTATTAAAAAACAATTAAAAGGATGTCTAATGCTTTCAAAAGTCTGATTCGCTCTCTTTGTTGAACAAGTTTCTTTGTTTCTTCAATGAGAGCTAGAACAAAGAAACGATGCCGACCAGCGTGAATATGGTGAGGTGCTGCAGCATTTATCTTGCCACGAACGGTCCATTCTGTGGCGTTTACACCATTCGGAGATTCCATCTCACCGAATATCGCGGAGATTCTCCTGTAGATCCAAATGACTTAGACTCCTTATGTGATTACTTATGAGAAAACGCGTGCAAACGAGTATTGCTATTTTTCTGCCTGCATGGAAGCTGCTCTTTTGGTTATACGTGGAAACCAGTATGAATTTCAGAGAGCTCTTTTTTGACAACCTAGAGAGAAGAAATTGCACTATTTAAGCATCGAACGAGATAACCAATGAGGGGTAAAAATTGGCAGTTTTTTGATGAAGATAAAATTTGAGAGCCTAAATTGCCTTCTATTCGCGAATTAATTTGAATGGATCTTTAAAAAAAATCAGAAATCAAAACGCTAATGGCGTGAACAAAACTTTAAACGGTCGCCTCAATAAAATCAAACAGAAAATCATCACGACCCACTTAAGTGTCTTCGCTATCTTCATTGACACAAAAACACTGCCGTCTTTAATAAAAACGTCTAATAAATCTAGACTTTAAAGAAAAAGGTAAAATCTGAATCCGAATCGCGACAAATTTTGATGTTATAGAGGGGCAAAGCGGAGCGTCGCTCAACTTGCAATGTAAGGCAAGAGCAGCATTGAAAGCAAACTAAAAAAAATATAACAGAAATCACGAAATTGAAAAAAGAAAGAAAAAACTCAATTTCAAAAAACCGTCGAGAAACACAACCAGCAGCATTAAATGGGCATTTAGCATCACTTAGCAATCAGTTAATCAACTGACAATAGCTTGGTAGACGCCTACTGAGCCATAAATAAAAAAAAGGCATCAGCCGAAGCAATTATAACAAATACATAGCCATCATACAGTTAGAAAGTGTCAATGAACACAAGGAAACAGAAAAAACACAGACTTGTTTGTTTTGAAAACTGAAATTTCAAAATTCAAGGAGAAACATATTGCCTTAGAACTCTTTGAAGTTCAAAAGCCTTTTTATGATGAAAGTAACCCTGTTTGAGAAAACTGGATCGAAAACTGGATAAAGCTGGGGGCACCTGTTTGATAACTTTTGAATGTGTTGTACTGATGCGAGATGAATTAGGTAAACTCAAAAATGTAAGAATTGGGCTTCTACCAAAACTTTAGTTGTTGGTCTATTAAAAAAATGCGTGAAAACTTTTGTGATTTTGGAATTTTCCCAGAAATAAATTTTTTTGTTCAAACTTTAAGAGGTAGCATCTTAAGCACGGAGGCTTCACACAACCTGTTGCCTTGACTAAACCCTTAATATCAGATTGAGTTGTTTTCGAGAAGTCAAAAAGTGTCAAGGCTTTTACGAGTGTCATAAATTTTTGTGTAAAAAGAATGGGCATAGCTGTTTATAAAGGGGTGCTTCTCACAACTCGTTGTACCCATTAAAACCAACATTTCAAATTCGGTAGGCTAGTTTTTGAGAAAAGTTAAAAAACGTCCAAAAATTCGAAAATTTGATTTTTCCGAGGGTCATAACTTTTTGTGTAAAAAAATTAGGCGTAACCGCTAATGCAGGAGAGCCTCCCACAACCTGTTCTACCCATTGAAACCAAAACCTCAGATTTGGGAGGGTAGTTTCCGGGAAAACTCAAAAAGTTTAAAAAAAACGGTCAAAAAATCGAAAACTGGACTTTTCTGAGGGTCAAAACTGTTATGTGTAAAAAAAATGGCTGTGGTCGCTCATGGAGGGGAACTCCCCAAAACATTTTCTTTCGATTTAAACTAAAATCTCAGATTTGAGAGGGTAGTTTTTGAGAAGATGTAAAAAAATCCAAAAAAAATTGGGTCAAAATTCCCCCACACACTTTTTCGAAGGCCCTAGAAAGTGCGGTAAGGTAAAAAAAAAGAGACTAGGGGATTATGCAGGCACAATAGGGACTTAGCCTATTTCCCATTGGTACCAAATTTGTGGAAAGCGGTAGCGCATTTTTTGAGAAAAAAATTTCCACAGCGTCTCAAAAAAATGAATAAAAAAAGAATTAAAAAACCCGATCCCATACATTTTCAGAATACCTGTTGTTATCAAACAGGAACTTTTCCAAATTAGAAGTTGATCACGTTTTCGTTATCTTTACAATTTTTCTGTTTGATAGTCCACTGAACTGAAAAGAAATCAAAAGTCAAACTGCGAAAAATCAAACTTGAGCTTGAACACATTTTAAGAGTTTTTCCTGAAAAACAAACAAATTAAAATTATCACAATCTATAAAGAGTCTTCACTAGGTTCATTGACTCTTGCCGAAATGCACTTGGAAAATTTTCGATGAACGCAAAACAGATTTAAAAAACAATACTGAAAAAGACGCCTTTATAACTCTTTGATCTTCTGAAAAAATTCACGACTGGCACTTTTTGATATGAAGAAACCCAATTCGAGAAAACTGGATCAATATGTATAACTTTTATTTCGCTGAAAAATCTGATAATTAAATACCGTATTCGAAATCAGAAGTTAATCACGTTTTTCGCGATCTTTACTTTAAGCTGTTTGATAGTAGAGCTTGCCTTCCTTTCAACAAGGGAATTGAATGAACTTAACCAGAAATCAGTGGTCAAACTGTGAAAAAGTAAATTAGAGCCTTAACAAATTTTAAGACTTTACCTGAAAAAAAAAACATCGCGACCTATTTAAGAGTGTGAACTACGTTCATCGACTCTTCAAAATTAAAATAAAATAAAGCAGATACAGGCAAATTGACGAAATAACGGAACGAATGCCAATAAATATTAAGTAAAAAAATGTTCAAATCAGAAAAATGTTTTTTTTTGTAACATAAGCCGACAAAAAATAAGCAGACAAATGAAGTTCGACAACTCATTTTTTCCAACAAAAAATGAAATCATATATACTGAGGTCCAACTGGGACTGGAGACCCTGACCTGAGGGTGCAAAGGCAACCGCGTAACATCTAGACCAAAAGGGAAAGGGCATCGAAGCTATTAATGTTCAATGATAAAGTTCTCGCAGACTTGTAAGAAAAGTCGTTTCCGGGGAAAAGGCTAGTTCCCGATTACAAGACACTTACAAACCTGACCCTAACAAGCTTCCTTTTAACCAGTTAAAATTGGGGAAAAAACACCCACGCCACTGTTCCTTCCCATCCCCTTAGAGGATGGGGTGATCGGAACAATAAACAACATTCTGCACATTTTGAGAAATCGCAATAATGTCCACCCAATAGAAAACTGCGCATTGCTCAGGGAAGAAGTAGGATTTAAACGTTAGCTCGGGAAGTTTTCATTGAAAACCCAAAAAAGTGAATACTGATTTAGCCTGAGAAAAAAACAAACGGAATAAATTAATATCTTCACTACGTTTATTAACATTTCATAATAAATTGCTTACCAGGAGATTGCTATTCGAGAATTTGTCAAGACCTCGATAGTAGTCGAGTCTCCTTTTAGTAGCTTGGTCTTTTAAATTTAACTTTCGCACATCACGAACGTCAATCGGGCCTCTGAAACAACAAAAAAGATAAAACGTTATCCAGAAACTACAACTCTGAAACCAAAGCTTATGAATTATTGAGCACGAATAATGTTTTTTGACTGAGTTCGATGATTGACACTGCAATACAATGAATGAACTCACAAGCATTCAAAGTAACTCAACTGCATGTTCTGATGATGCAATTGAGCCAAAAGTTATATTATTTTTGAGAAGTAAAGTAACGAAATCAAATATGAGATGAGATATTTCACTATTTTCATCCTTTTGCGGAAGACATCCAAGAAGATCTACAGGACGATATCAACAAAATTGATTTTCTGAAAAAAAAAAAGAGTCAAAAGCTGTTTGTTAAAGTTTTTTGACAGGTTCGCAGGAAAAAATGGGTTTTAAGGCGCCTGTTCTTTCAAAAAATTACCCACCACAGAGTCATCAGAGTATTAGTTGTGGAAAAATGTACATCAAAAACATTTTTAAAAAATAGTGGACCTTGAACAAATAGGCCGGTGAAGGGGTCAATGGTGGAATCCATCAAAGGCGAAGAACCGAATGGGCGAAAACAAAAATCAGCTAATCAGATTTCAGTATTCCAAAAGTTGGAAAGAAAGCGAGTAAATCAAAAAGAAAGCAGACATTTCCAGAGACTTAAAATTAACATTGGCCACATATTTCAATGGTTTCGTTATAAAAGAAGCAAAATATTGTTTCATTCAATTCCTTTTAGTTGAACGGCAATCAATTGATTCATTTAATAATTGACTTTCGGTTATTTTTGTTTTCGGTCCTTCGCCCATTCGGTCCTTCGCCCAAGAGAATAGCCCCCCGGGTCAAACTCTTCGGTACAAAAGGAGTCCGCCCTTCTCCAAAATATTTTTCGGCAAGATTACTTTCCATACCTGGGTAAGTCCATCAAATTTGACTGGCTGTATGATGAAAGTGAACCCTTAATTGCTAACAAACAATGAAATTAAATTCTGTATTGTCTTAAACCTGTTTGTGAAGCTAGTGTTATTTCTTGTCTGTCTACCATAGCAGTAAACTTATAAGGAACTACTAACAATGAACCCAATGTCACACACGCCTCGGTAGCCAGTAATAGAAAATATGATTTAAGGTGATATTTATACCATAAGTCAAAACCATGGAACGATTGACCCCATCTTCATGTTGCGCACTTTTTCGTTTAAGAAAATTTTCTGAACGCTTCAAGTATTTTAATCAAAATTCCACCCCATTACACTTATTACACATATTATCAAGATTTAAAAAACCTATTTTTTTAAAAAATTAGAACAGGGAGCAGACACATTTTAATTAAGCAAGCTAATTGACCAAGCTCGAAAAGGAGGCTACTTTAAGAGCCCCAAAAATTAACAGTTTTTCGTGGTTAGTACTCTCATAAATCACTCCATATCGAGCCATACACGCACTGGGCGATTCATGGCTGAAAAATCATACGAGGTTAAAAAGCTGCTGTCAAAAACGATACCTACAAATTTGAGTTGTTTGGGTCCGCTAAGTTTGGTGAGTCATTTCAATGAACATGAAATCATTGGTGAGTCATTTCAATGAACATGAAATCATAACTGATTTTTATACTTATGTAACAACCTGAATCCTTTCCCCTCTTTATCATAGCAGTACTTCTTTTTATAGGATTGTGATCTGCTTCTTAAACTGAGCAATCTCTGGTTTCTCAGCCTGATAGAGTTACTACTACGCGAACTTGACCTGCATCAAATCAGCAAAAGGCAATGGGTGGAAGTTAATCTCATGATTGAGGGACAGAATAATGAAAACTGCGCCTTGTACAACAGAAAGTTATGCTTGCTATTTTAAGGGGTGATAAAAAAATCACCCCATAAAAAACTGTAGCCTTAGATAATTTTGATTACGCTGGCGAGTTATTTAGCAAAATATTATAAGTAAACTTAATGAGAAACGAGCAAATTAAGTGAACTTAATAAGAAATCATAAGAAAGCCTCCACATTATAACTATGAGTGTGATCAAGCCATATCAAGCTACAGATTGTTTTCACGACACATTTGAACGAATCCTCTCTCATTTCACTGATAATTAACTTAATTATTTTTATCTTTTTATAGCTATTTTTATAGTTATTGAATCTAATCCAGGCAGCAAAATCTCGCCGAACTTGGATGATGCATTAAATTACGTTCGATTGTTTTTTGTTCACCCATTTTTCTTAGGTTGATCGAATTTTCAACCCATTTTAAGCTGAACAAGCTCATACAGTGCTGATTTAAAATATTAGGAAAAAACATACAAAACTAACTTTTTAAGTTTAGACCAAAATGGATAGGGACATTTGACAGAAAATGCTTAGAATTTAGTGGACCCAAAAGTACACCCATAAAATTGGTCAATTCATTTCGTTCAAGATAACGCAAAAACCAAAGGTGGATTGATGAAAAAAATTGACCGCTTGTTTATGCTTAATCTTGAACCAAATGAATTAACTAGTTTTGAGGGTAAACTTTTGATTCCAACTGTTGCAAAAAAAATTGCACCATAAAAATGCAGGTTAAACTTTTGAGCATTTTTTTGACCCCCTTCCTTTTTGGTCTAAATTTTCAAAATTGAGAGAAATCAACTTGAAAAGCTGTTGAGTTTTGTATGCTTTATCCGATTATTTCAAATCATCACTATCTGAGATTGTTCAGCTTAAAATGAGCTGAAATCGCGGAAAATGCACGAACAGAAAACTAAACTTAATCAATTGTATCATCAAAACACAGCGATTTTTTACTGACACTTTGCCATCTGAACAAAAAATAAGTAAACAAGTAAAATTTAGCCTGAAACCAAAAGTCAAAAACTTTAGAAATATTAAAAACACTAAACGTCTTTCAGATAAGATGTTAATATCCGCACAAAACATAAAAAAATTGAGAAGCGGAAACCAACAGTCAAAAGATACACCAGAAAAAAAAACAATCAAAAAAATTCATTAAAGTTGTAAATGAAAATAAGCAAACCGTCACCTACAAAACATGTTAGACTGATTGAGATTGGCTTTTTGAACTTAAATGGAGGCGAGTGTCATAAAGCTATAAAACACATCCAGAAACCTTTTGCTGAACTTATTGAAAATAGCAAATTTTTGAAACAATTTTATGTTGGTAAGAAGCCTATGAATGTACCAAAAGCTAGTATAACAGAATTGGAACTTGACCAAAAAAACACAATTACACAAAAACAGAAATTATAAATTTTGACAAACCAAAAAATAGAATTAGTATTTTGAATCATTGATGAAAATTTTTCATTTTTCACATACTTCATTTTTCACAAGTTCAACAAAATATGTGGCAAATTTTCAGCGCCAAAAACTGAGAAGAAGACAGATAGAAGCGAAAAATGACATCAAACTTCTCAAAGTTGTTTTGAATGTAACAAAGCGTTTAAATTTGACGTCCAAAATTTTCTAATTCAAACCTTATATATTCTCTGAGAAAAAATACCGAACGGTAAGTAGATATTTCCCACAGAGGAGAAGCGGAGCGGATAAATTGCACCAAAACATTTAAAAACATAAGGAGTCATAAAGATCTTTTCTTTCAAAAATTATGAAAAAAAAAGAAATAGGTCTACCAAAGTTTAAATTTCTCTATATGACTAGATAGAAATTCAATCCAAAAAAAAATCCCTGAAATTTGAATATTAAATTAGCAACGGGACAAAATTTTCAGCAAATTAGACTATCTTTGAGCAGACAACTTGATACCAAAGAAATATGATAATTTTAATAGTTTTAAGTCCTACCTGAAAGTACAATGAAAGTTGCTTACAGCACATGAAAAAGCAGGAAGGTAGCAACATAGCCGAAATTCTTTGAGCAGACACCAGTTGAGCCGAAAAAAAAAATTTATGAAAAAAAGATTTTATGAAAAGATTTTATTAAAAGATTTCAAGTTCTCTCCTGATACTATAATGAAGAACACTTGCAACTGCAAGGAAAGTTGCTTAAATCAAAATACTTGATATGGCGACAGGCAGTTCAATTTTAACCAATTTTTTTTCAATTGCATACAAACTGAAAAAAAAAACAAGCTCCGGCCGGAACGAGAAACCCAGACCTTAGAAAGCAAAGGTGACGGCGTTACTCCTAGGCCAATTGGAAAGAAACCTGAAAGATGTCAGTGTTCAATATTAAAGATACAGATGCGAAGCGATACAACAAAAAAGCACTGCAAGCTAGCAGTCAGGAAAGGAAAGGAGCGCCAATAAGTTCGAAGGAAAAACCACAACTAAAAAAACTTCAAAATGATGTTTAGAATGATGCTTTAATTGCGGACACCGCGTTCAGAAACACATTCGATAGCAATAAATGAAAATTCAAAAACAATTTTTGAGCGAAAGTAAAGTTGTTGACATGAAAAACGTTGAACTATAAATTCTATTCTACGTTTCAAAGTATTGAAATTTTCAACGTTTTGTGCGATCCGGAGGAAAGCATGCAAAATATTGTTCCCCCAAACGACCCGAAATTAGGTTAGAAAGCCGATAAAATATAGACTGAAATATATAAGACCGAACAATTGGTTAAGCGAAAAAAAAACAAACAAGAAAACATATCAAGTCAAATTTAGTAGAATTACAAATTGCAAGAGTGCAAATTACAATGAAAGCATAAAACAACTGCAATGAAAACTGCATGAAGCAAAAAATTCTAAGATGTGACAACTAAGCCGACAAAACATAAGCAGACAAATAAAAAGCCGACAATTTTTTTGAAACGGAATATTTCCTGTTAGACAAAACAGGTCCTGCTCAGATTCCAACCCAGAAACTTTGGTGTCCAAGGCGTATTCGTTACCTCCAGACTAAAAGTGCCAGATGAGCTTAGAATTTTGAATTCATTATGTACAAGATACTAAGTGATTCACGTGATTCTGTTAGACAAGTTGTTAACCCGAAAAAGTCTATATTCCGATTTGATAACATACGCTAATTGCAATCGTAAGTAAACATGTTCCATAAAAATAGGAGTATACTTAGGCAATTCTGGGTCGATACACTTTTTTGAATGAGATTGTGAAGATTTAAAAAAAGAAAATCAATTCGGACTCAAAAATGAGCTGCTGACCAGTCGAGGAAGATACGCCGAGAAATGTTTCCGGCAGACAAGTTGTTAACAAAAAAAAACGTTTTAATATGATAACACTTTTTTTATCGCAAGTGGGATCTCTTTAACTATATCCCCTTTTGCTAAAGGGGAATATTCGTTTCTAGGTACCCGAGGTGGGATATAGTTGAAGAGATCCCGCTACTGTAAGCAATCCCAATCGCTACAAACCGTAAAACTTTTTAGTTTAATTTAAGTTTAATGCAGAAAATCCGAAGCCATTTTAACATACAATGAATAAAACAACAGTTAAATTTTTTTCTTTAAGGAACTGAAGGAGACAATCCAATCCGCACTGATAACACGGAAACAGTTCGCGCCTTTGAACTGGCAAGCCCGCTACACGTATCAGCGCAAAAATCTGCTAATTTTGTACTCGGCTAATGAAACGTGAAAAAAAAGAAGACAAAAGTTTTTAAGCAACGCGAGATACTGTGACCAAAAAAATTCATGGCCCATGAAAACTAAGCACAATTTTTTTCCTTATAAGTGGTATTTTTAGTTCATTTATGCCTTTGTGATTTGTTCCTCTTTTGTTGACCTCACGACGCTTAAACTTAAACAAAACAACCTTTTACCAGACCACAAAACAACATGTCAATGAAAGCACTAATTTCAAATTCGACGTTGGCAAATAGCGACCAGACCGCTTGCTTCGCCGGAGCGAGATGTATGGTTGGAGCGAGTCATTGTTTGCCGCTACATTAGATTGATCTGCTGGAAAAAAAAACTTAAGCAACGCGAGATAAATGCCTTCAATCGATTCTTGTACTAATTAAGACAATTATCGTCGTAGTCTTGTAAACGGCCTTTATTTCAGTTTTCTGGTAAAAGATTGGTTTGGTAAAAAGTAGTTACCATAGTTTCACTATTTCTAGTTATTTCTCAAATTTGGTTAACCTGTGTACTAATTTCACAGATAAACATACATACAAGCGAGCAATCATATATAGTTTCAGAAGTTTATCACTCGCAGTAAATGACAGGAACGGGATTGCGTAATTCTCTGCCAAAAATATAGAGGACCTAATTTTTCTAAGACAAAACCTATTATAGCAGAGTTGATCAAAACAATAACCGCTTCTGAGCGGCGGCAATTCAATCCTAACTTGCATATGGCATGAGTTTCTGAGGCTATTTTTATCAAACTAAAGAAGATTAAATCAAACAACAAATTGGCAGAGATTTGAAAAATAAAAAACACGAGGTCATCAAACGTTTCAACATAGAAATACAAAACTTTAAGAAGCAAAGAACGATTGAAACGCAAAGAAAAAATACTGACTTGCTTTTTGAAAAAACCTCAACTTTAGAACTTCAAAAAGAATAAAAAAGGAGGTATCAGTTTGAAAATTTTTGAATTTGATGTACTGATGCGGCATGAAAAAGTTATACCAAAAACTAAAAAATGGGCTTCACCCGAAAACTGGATGAAACTAGCGTATTATGCAGGCACACAGGGGTGGGCAGTCTTTCCGTTGGTACCATTTTTCCTAAATCAGAAACGTACTTTTCGAGAAAAACCAATTTTTTTTTAAAGTGAAAATATTGTGGTACCTATCCCTATCTTGTGTAATAAAAATCATAGCGATCAAAACCGCGGTAGATACAAGTAGTCACGACCCTTCGGTTACGTTTGCAAAAAAAAGTCCTGAAAAACTGATTGGTTGAAAATACCACCTTCAAATTATCGAGCTAACAAATATATATATTCAATAACTATAATCAGAATCGTAATTCTCACTTGCAGAAAAGAGAACGTTTCGGACGGAAGGTAAAATGCCAGGATAAATCAGATAATGTTCAATAACAAACATAAGAGTAAAACAGCATTATCGTAAGGCACAAAACTTAAATCCATGAAAAAAATTTTATGATAATAGATGTCCGTAATTATATTTAAGAAAACTTAATTAGATCCTTTCAAAAAATGAGCTGTTTCCGACTATTTTACTGCTCATTAGTTTTCTCGAGGAACAACCTAAAGAGTTTGGGAAGCAAAGATTTTTATAATGCGCAAATTTTGACCCCAAATTTTTACAAGGGGGCGATTCAATACAAGAAAGCCGTAATTCGAAAAAAATGCCTTTTTCCCGGAAAATGTCGGGAAAAAACGAGATCTTTCAGAAAAAAATTAGTGAAAAGAAAAAACTTGCTAAGGCATTAGCATGAGTAATTCATATAGGAAGAAGGTAACAAAGCCGAAAATACCTAAGCAGATAATTAACAAAAGTTTTTCAGTCCCCCTTCCCCTCAAAACACACACACAATCAAACTAAATTTTTTCGCTCGTCAAACGACGCAAATTGAGGTCCCTAAGCCGATAAAAAATACACCGAAACCTATTAAGCCAAAAAAGAAGACAAATCAACATAAAGCAAATTTCGAAAGAGAGGCAAAGCTGTGCTTCGTAAACACTTGCGAGAACACGACCAAAAAGCAGCTCTATCAAATGAAAACAAAAAATGGAAATAGGCCTCCAATTATCAAAAACTCGACTACGTGCCTGATTCGAACCTGCGACCTAGCAATCTTCGCAAGTGTAATAACCGAAACTTGAGCTCTACTATTTTGTAGATTACATCGATACAATTGCCTTTGAAAAATCTTGGAATAATTGCATGCTTTAGTCTGTCAATTTAGGGGGAGTAGCAAAATAAAAATTGGATTTTAAAAAAAATATTGGATTTTAAAAAAATTGGATTTTAAAAAAATACCTGTGAGCTCGCGAGGGGCGTCTGGAACTCCTTCTTTCGACCCTGAAAACAAAATTTTTTTTACACATAATCAATAGAAATTTGTACGAAGCATTCTTCTGACAGTTTATACGAGTCAATCTTCCCTAAGATAGATAGCAACACAGCATTCGAATTGATTTAAAAACAGGATGAGTTTCATACCTAATTCTTATTTAGTTTAACTTTCAGGCGCAATAATAATCCCGAATTGATAAGGACGCCATTTTACAACTTGGTTTCTAAACTTTCTTTAAATATCAGGCGCAATAATAATCCCGAGTTAATGAAGACACCATTTTACAACCATGATTACAAGTTAAACTTATTTTCAATTTTGAGCTCCTTTTCAAAGAGCATTTTTCAAAAAATAAAGCAGTCTGAATTTCAAAAAAATATACATGATTGTCCCTTTTTGAAAACACATCAATAGGTAATTATTATTCCGCTCGGAAATATTAAAATTAAAATCCATTTTCGAAACTTTTCGTTCATGTTTTGACACGTTCATGGACACTGAAATATTGAATTTCAGTTCTAGCACCAGAATCCTACATTTCATGAGATCAAAGCGAAAAAGAAATTCGAGGCTGAGCGAAAACAGGCTATATGTTCAATTCAACTTATGTTTCAGATGGTCATATATTCAAAGTACCTGATGACGTCATCGTTGTCCTGGATGTTCACGCTTTTCCGTTTTCCTTTTCCCGAGGTCACTCCCAGCTCTACGTCGTCATTATCATTTCCATCGTCATCTGCGCCTGCTTCAGATGCAGAATCAGAGTACTCTTCTTCAGTATCGTATTCAATACTGTACTCATCGCGTTTTTTATCGGCTACTCCATCCACACCTGCGTAGAAAAAATAGTTAAAGGTGCAATTCCAAAATTCGAATTTGCACAGAATTTTTGACACGCCACTAGTTTGTGTTAACTTTAATAAAAGACTAGGGGTTCGGCTTAAACTGGACGTAACTGTTTGATATTTTTAAGTTTTTCGTACTGATGTGGGATGAAGTTGGTAATTTCGAAAATTCAAAGCTTGGGCATCACCCAAAACATTAGTTGTTTCTCTAGTAAAATAAGAAGAATTAAAATCTTTGAGAATATGGCGTTCCCAAGGCCATAACTTGTTCTTGCAAAGACATAGCCGATTTTGAATGGAGGCTTCTCTATATATTTACTTTATTTACGAACGAAAACAGTCACAAAAAATCAAAATTTGACTTTCTGAGGAACAAAACTAATTCTGTAAAGCAAAATTGGTCGTCGCCACCGAAGCAGGGGTGGGGGTTTCCTAGAAACCGTGCACTCCATTGAACCCAAAATCTCAGTTTTGGGAGATAAGTTTTCGAGAAATTTCAAAAATTTCAACGGTCAAAAAACTTTCCCACAATCTGTTCTTTCCATTGAATCCAAAATCTCAGATACGCGAGAGTAGTTATCGAGAAATGGAAAAAACTCCAAAAATATGAGTCGGGTCGGAATCCAAAATTTGAATGTGAGGTATTGTAAAAAGAGATAAGGCTCATATGCAACATGCAAGCAAACGGAATATTGGGCGATATTTTCATTGCTACAACATTTTTAAAAATCGATCAATTAGTTTTTGACAAAAACTAAACTTTTTGAGAGAAAAGAAAATTTTTCCAAAACGTCAAAAAAAACAAATCCCAAACGGTTTCTGAATATCTGATTTTTTAACAAACAAAAAGTAAATCATATTTCGGTTTCAGCTGTTATTCTTGTATATAGTCCAAGTAAAATATTTCCCAACTGTTAGCTAAGGCTATCATCGAGGTTAACAGCAGTTTTTTGAAGATTTCATTATTAGTAGAATTGTCGCCTCAGAATGGAAACTATTAATATAGTCAACAGACAGTTGAAACAGAGTTTAAAAACGCAAGAAAAATTACTGAATTGCTTTTTGAAAAAAAAAATCAATTTTATAACTTCAACTAGAAAAAACTATGAGCCCAGCTAAAGCTGGAGATATTTGTTTGAAAACTTTTTGAAATTTCTGTACTGATGCGGCATGAGATAGTTAATTTAACACAGAGGCGAAGCTGCGCTTCACAAACACTAGCCAGAACACGGGCAAAAAGCAGCTTTTTCAAGTGAAATAAGAAAAACTAGAAATCAGCCTCGAATTAGCAAAACTCGGCTACGTGTAGGATTCGAATGTGCGACCTACTGCAATCAAGAGAATTTAGGTCTCGCGCACTATCCACTCAATCACGTAAGCTTAACAACCGACAAACACTAGTCACGAATAAAGCAGCTACATATGCTTATAAATAACACCAAATACAAAGACACAATTTTGCAAGTGATAATTTGGAATAAAACAAACTGAATGCATCCACTCTTACTTTGCATGCAAAAAATTGCAAACAATGCAGCCACATTATGTATAATTTCTACATTTCAAAAAAAATTGCAAGATATATTGAGTTAGAAACCGAGTTTTCTGATATCGAGTTTTCATTACTGTTATGTTGTTTGAAACAATTAACTTTTTTCGATTCAGTTGATGAATTAAAAATGCATCAACTGTGTTAACTTATTACTATTCGAATCTCAAAGCACATGCTATAAAAAAGCTTTGAATGTTCCCAAAACTTCCCCACGAAATTTTCCCAAAATTTACCCATATTCCCCACTTAGGTTGAAAAAAAGGTTCGTACTAATACACTCGCTTCGCAAGTGTAAAAATTGGGCTTCACTCAAAACCGTAATTGTTTCTCTAAAAAAATATGGGTGAAATTTCTTGAAAATTTGGAAATTTTTCAAAAACCAAACATTTTGTACAAATTTCAAGGTGTGTAGCCGCTTATGAACGGAGGCTTCTCAAAACCTCTTGCTCGAATAAACACTTCATATCAGATTCGTTTTGCAGAAACAGTGTCATTTCTATAGGTCAAACTTTTGCTAAAATTTTTTGACGACCCGGCTTACACAGAGAACTTCTCTCATAAAGGGGAGCTTCACACAACCTGTAATTTCGATTGAACCTAAAAACTCAGATTTCAAAGGGTGGTTTTCGAGAAAAAACAAGAAGTTTAAAAACGGCCAAAAAATCGAACATTTGACGTTTCCTAGGACCATTACTTCTTGTGGAACGAAACTGGGCGTAGCCGACTATGAAGGGGAGCATCACATAAGCTGATCAATAGATTGAACCCAAAATATCAGAATTGGGAGGGATTTTTCGAGAACAAAAAGTTTGAAAAAAAGTCGAAAATCAAACTTCGGGCGTAACTGCTTACGCAAGGGAACTTCCCATAACACCTTTTTTCGATTAAAATCAAAATCTAAAATTTGGGTGAGTAGTTGTACCGACAAGTTTCAAAAAACAGTCAAAAACCAAAAAATTGACTTTTTCCAGGGCCATAAGTTTTTTTTGTAAAAAAAATGATGCAGCCGCTTATGCAGAAGAGCTTCAAACAACCAGTTCTATCCATTGAACTCAAAATCTTAGATTTGATAGGGTAGTTTTTAAAAAAATGTCGGTTTAAAAAATCCCCTTAGTTTGTGGAAACCTGTAGAAAAAGAGTTATGGTAAAACAAGACTAAGGGAATGTGCACGCTAACAGGTGAGTGGGTAATCTTATCAATTTTTCAAAAATTGGTAACGCACTTTTTGATGAATCCTATATTTTTGTAAAAAGTGATAAATTTGTCCAAAGCTTTTCAAAAATCACAAAAAAATGATAAAACCAAATCATACACATTTTCATAGAAATTATTTCTATCAAACAGGAATATGACCATAAATCACTTTGAATTTTAACAACAGTTTATGATTGACAAAGTTTTGATAAAAAGTAACCCAATTTAAGAAAACTGAATCAACATTTGATTTTTTAGTCTGCTGAAAATTAAAATCGAAATTAAAGGTCGATCACGCTTTTCTTCGATCACCTTTACACTTTTGCTGTTCATTAAAGAATTTTGTTTCCTTTCGAACAAAAGAAATCAATTGAACTTGAAAAAAGTCAAACCGCGAAACACTAACTCCAGAAAAAAATTGAAAAAAAAAACATCACGACCTCAACAAGAGTCTTCACTACGTTCATCGACTCTCGTCTTTTGGCCAGTACATTGCTAAATAACAGTGTCAGATTAAGGGACTCCGTAAAAACTATTTCCACAATATGGCAGGTTTTGTTTTATTTTTGATTAAATTAAGTATGGCAATTATTTATCTTTTCCCAGAAGGCAAAAATTATTAGTTGTCAAAAGCAAGAGCAAAAAATTAATTCTCTAGTTTTTCTTGAGAATCCTAATTGTTTATCTCTAAAAAAATAAAATTACCATACTTAAATCATTCACAGAGGCCAAGCTGAGCTTCGCACCGCAAGCTAGCAGACAGAAAAAGAAACCCATCAAGTCCCATCATTTGCAAAAAATACAACCAAAAACAATTTTCGACCGCGTTTAAAGTTTTTACGTAAAACAAAATTACGAAGTCAAGGTTAGTAAAAAAAATGAAGGAGTAAAGCAACTACAGTGAAAACTGCGCACAGCAAAAAAAAACTATTCTAAGATAAGGTTGCTAAGCCGCCAAAACATAGACAAACAAATAATATGCCGAACTAAGGAACTTTAACGTGCCAAGTGTATTCGTTACCTCCAAGCTAAATGAGCCCAAGACGCTAAGAAATTTGAATTCAATATAAACCAAGCCACATGCAGATGAGACCTCACAATTTTTTTTAAAATTACGGGTGAAAACATTCTAGATCTAGTACGCGGTTACTACAACCTTGCTAATTGCAAGAGTAAAAACAGACAAAAAAATTAAACGATACAACCCGAATTTCTTTCCAAGCATTACACTACTCTTTGTGGACGCGCCAGTGCATCTCAGCTTAAACGCGCATTAGGGCCATATTGCGGGGCAAAAGCCAGATGTTAAGCTTTGCCTCTAATGGTGCAGACACCTGATTCTCAAGCTGAAATAGTAACATCACAGATGTCCTATCAATATCTCACCTTCGATCTCTACTGTTAGGGTGTCGTCTTCAAAGGCCGAGTTCTTGGAACTGCTTTCGGGAGAGTGTTCGTGAATGAGTCGCTCTCGATCGTCGCTCATTATAAAATTTTGAAGAAAACGACTAACTTCGTAATTCTAAGAGTTCTATGTTTGGGAGTAACTCTTACCTCTTGGTACGATAAATCAATTAAATACCCGACTAAATAAGTGCCGAAAAATCTAATCGCGTAATAGTGTTCCAAAGCAGTTGTTGACACGACCGAAAAGAACGGACCTATTCGGTTATACTCTTGATAGTCAAAAATAAATAAATAATATCCAGTTCTGAGGATTTAGAACAAACTAAAACGAAGCTCCAAATCTCGATGCGTTAAACGCTGTTTAAATCAATACTGACTCGGTTTTCTATAAGTTGGTAGTTGTTCTATTATTAAAGAATTTTTATTGCAAAATGTCCATTAAATATTTTGTGCAAGGTCAAATTACTTATCTAATTTGGACGTTATGTCAAGGAAAAGTCGAGTCAAACAATTTAAATTGTAAATGGGCGTAATAATTTGGTTTGCAAAAGAACAAAATTGGTAAACAAACTTAGACAAATAATAACGTAGCGTTCACTTCTAATTTTAAACTCAGTATAATTGGAAACTAAAAAAGAGAAGAGACTAATGATATATCGAACTGATTATGTGCAAATTAGGAGGTAAGCTAATTATGGATAATTACAAAGCAGCCCTTTTTGACATGACAATCCTGAAAAAAAAAATGATCTTGAAAACATCAGCGTGATTATCTTACTTGAACTTTGCACCAAGTTGATAAATTCAACATATAAAATTTCAATAGAAAAACAAATTAAAGTCCTTCCTCCGAAAATGTTCAAAAGAGTTTGAAATTGGCCTAGAGCTTTAACAATTGATGCAATAGGTTTGTAAACGAGCTGCTTTTTCTAATATTGGTTTATAACCCAGCTGCAAAAAAAAATCATAGACAGTTTTACAGAATCAGACAATTTTGCAGAGATTCTTTGTCGTTTATGCTTATCAGTTGGTTGGTTTATGTTAAAGAGAAAACATGCGAAAATTACCCTCAGCATTGCATCAACATTGATTGGAGAGAGAGCAAAAGCATCGCAAACGAAGTCCGAACTGACACTAAAATCGATTGAACAGTAAGTAGGTGTGTAGAAAATGCTGAATTCCAAACTGATAGATGCTCTTCGAACCATTCTTACTCAAAATAAAACAACCATGTTTCTATCAGATACTTCGAAGCCTTTTCGAGCCCACTTTAGCTGTTCAGGTTCATCACAGATATAGCAAAGGTCTACGCTATTCCGGACAATGGGTGTAGAAAAAGTTTATCTTGAAAAAAAATCGAAAAAAAGCACACCGAGTTCTAGGTCTGCTGTAAGCTCAGTAGTTTTCAACTGACATGATAGCTACAATAAGTGTGGATTTTACAATTCATCAATATGCAAAAATATCCTGTGAGATATTAGAATAGGTGCTGGTTTAATTTCAATAGCGGGATCGCTTTTTGTAATACTTCGAACATTATTTATAATTTATTTCAAAAGCCAAATTTTTCAAAGAAGTGTAAAAATTGAGTCTTAGAATAGCATTTCCTTTGGCAGAGTAATGTATTTACAAAAACTATCTAAGTAGTAGAACAATTGATCGATCGAAAATGAAATAACTGGATTATACATAATAGTTCTGAAATTCAATACATGCACTATACTCAAAATTACCACCCATTGTAACATATCACCAATTATCCTTCAAACTGTTTTCATCAAAAAAGATGTCAACCTGAAAGCTGCAAGAACGGAAAAGCGCAACTTTTTTGCATCAAGTAGAACCACTTAAATAGTTTCACCTTCCCTTATATCTCGATATGCATCAAATCGAGAAATGGCAACGGCGAACGTCATTTGAAAACTGTCTGAAAAACGAAATTGGAGAGATGTTTTAAAAAGTCAAACAAACCACGTGGTAGAATTAGCGAAAGGAAACTCTGATCAGAGCAGAGGCACCACCTACGATAAGAAACTTCGCACCACTTGCGATATGACGCATATAGCATGTTAAGCTAGTAGACCAAAAACGAAAGAAAAGCCACAACTACAAAACTCCTGCTGTTATATGCCAATTTGACAATTGACAACCATCTTAGATGACTTCAACTTTTCATATGCAATCAGGAAAACTCCGGGAAAGAAAATGAAAACCAGAACTCAGCAAATACAAAATTGGGAAAAAAGTAAAACTGAATTACCAGACACGTGCAACCAACTAATTTATAATCAAATCAACGTGCAAGAAAAAGCTCAAATACACCGTGTAAACTAGAAATGATTACACTTTCGTTTTCTATATGACACTCAGCTAAATTGCCAGAAACCACATCCTTGCTCTACCCCTTGAACGAGCTGCAAGCACAATTTGTCTTTAGTGCCAACCAAGGAACACTCGTTTTGAAGTTGCTTAAGATTTTTTTTAAAGAAAACAATTTAAAAAATCGGTTTAACAATACGGATCCCCATAGCATAACTTTGGTAAAAGGACGTTAACTTTACGTTTACTTTAAATTATTTTCCGCCCGTCTAAGTATCGGAACGAACTACTATCAAGCATTTGTAATTTTCAATTGCTTATTTTATTTCGTTATACTTATTTGAAAATATATTTACCGCATCTGTTCTTTTGTTTCATTTTTTTTTAAAGTTTTCGTCTAGCTACCTAGGACAGGAACTAACAAAGTAGGAACTAACAAAACTATGACTGCATATGACATCTACGACAAACTAGCCATGCCCAAAAAAAACCATTCTCCCCCAGCGAAATCTTCCCATCGCCCGACTAGAGCGCCTCTTCAAACGAGTACGAAAAGCCATCAATGACATCAATATGAACTGCATCATAGCTGACTCAGAAACCGAGATGAAAAAACATCTCAGCAATTTGGAAGACGCCACTACGTACCTTCAGACCACCCGACTGAACATGCCACAGAGGAGGATCTCATCAACCGCTTCACTGATATAAAAGATAAACACGACATCATGGATGAATTTAGACAGATGCTACAAGAAAATACAGCAGATACAACTCCACAACAACAGAACACTGATGCCACCACAGTTCACGCCCCCCACACAGCTGATTCAGCACAACAACGAACAATACTAGATCAGGATTCTAGCCAGTCGTCAACATCATCCAGCAGCAGCCATTTGTTTTTAATTTAATTTTAGTTTTTAAACATGAAAGAAATAGGGAAGTAACAAACGACTCAGATTGTGTTAACTGTAATTTACACGGAAAAAACATAATGAACATACAGTTGGAGAAGAGTCAATGACCCCATGTACACAGAACAAAAATACTGACTGTTTTATGATAAAATCTCAACTTGCGAATTTCAAACAAAAAAATAGGTGGCTTTAAAGCTAAAAAACAGGTCCTTGGCAGATACGAACCTAGGCCCTTTGCTCTCCCGGGCGTAGTTGTTACTTACAGGCAAAATGTGCTTGAGAAGCGTGGACGCTAAAAAAAACTTCAGCTATGATAAACCAAGCTATTTTAATAAACCAGTTAACCCGAAAAAGCCTATATTCCGATTTGATAAAGCATAATAATAGCAGGCGTAAAAATGCTACATATTTTCAAGAGCAAGGTCGGAAGGTTTAACTTAAGTTTTTAAAGAGACAATCTCAAAAGTTAATCAACTTCAATACATTTGACCAGCAATTAACAAAATACACTAGGTGAAAAAACCGAAAAAATTACACCCAACAAATTGAAAATCAACCAAAATTTTTTGGTAAAATAACAATCTTAAACACAGAGGCGAAAACACAACTCTCATACACAAGCAAAAAAATTATGACCGCTAACGCTACTGGAAAAAAATGAATGCGAAAAACATTGAGTCTACAAAATTTCTTAAGTGACGCACACCAATGAGTCTACATAAGTGCTAACTGACGCAGGCCAATTATGACGCGTTATCAGTACCGCTCAATTTAAGAAAAAAATTTACCAACTAACAAACCTCAATTTATAAAGCGGTCGCATTTCAACTATTATACGAAAATGTTCATTAAAAAAGTCCGACCCTGCCTAGATTCGAACCCTTTTATTTTGTTGCGGGCCTGCTTTCCTAACTCTACGCTGCAGATCCATGTTACCTTGAAGCTACCTTGTGGTACTATGTGTTAATATCCTTAACATTGGCTGTACTTAATAGCTGATTCTTGGTCAAAACGAACACTTTCATTTCAAAATGAACACATTTTTTCGCAACAAAATTTGCGCCGCAACAATATTTGAGACTTAGGTTGAAAAAGAGAATTCATACTATAACACAAGCTTTGCTTGTGTAAAAATCTTGCAAATAACGCCAAAAAACGAATATTAAATAAAGGGTACTAAGGTGAAAGTAAGTGGTACATCAGTAAGGGGTGATTAGAATGAAAAAATTATTCCTTCAACCTGGACTACTCTGTACACGAAGTTATTTACGAGGTAAAAATTACAAAAAAACTTAAGCTGATTGCAAGCCTAAATAAATTGAAACCAAAAAAAAACAACCAGAATAGTTGCTCAGAAAATTTCAAGCCCTATGCCTACGCGAAAAATCAGCCAAAAAACTTCCGGCAGCAAAATAACAACATTACAAAATCTCGGAAATACCACTAAAAACGAATCTTAATTAGAATGAACATAGGTGGATGTAAAATGTACATCAGTAAGTGGTGATTTGAAGGAAATTACAACTCCTTCAACATGGACTATTATGAGAACAAAGTTATTTACGGGAAAAAATAAAAAAAATTATTTATGCTGATTGCAAAATTAAAAACATTTAATTTTAAAAACAAGCAGAATCGCAGCTCAGAAATTTCAAGCCCTAAATCTTATTTCAAGGCTAAATGCTTAACCTTATTTAATTTCTCAAAGGGGAGATCAGTCACTTGGTCAAGTTTCCGGTACGACTATTTTTCGCAGAAAAGAATCAACTACAAATATTCAGCCAAACAAAAGGGTGCCACGACAACGCGCAACAAACGACAACTGACAAAACTTTCAGCTTAGAAAAAACATGCTTTACAATCTTAAAGTGCACCTGCAACTCTTAACATCGAAAGGTACATATGCATTTAATAAATTCCAACTATGCTATTAATTCAGCGGTTTTAAAATTTACCATTTTGTGAACAAAGATATTAACGGGAAAAAAGTCTACCACCCGGTTACAATACCCTTGCTTATTATTCGAGCCCATCTTATATTTATATGTGGCACCTGAATTTGCGTGACAAATACAGAAGGATCAGAATGCAAAATGCCTACCCAATTTCAGTGATCGAAGCAAAACCGACGCCGCCCAAAAAAATTTGTGTTTTAGTGCAATGCTGCAGGTAGTTGGGAGTCCAAATACAGAATGCCATTCAAGAAGTATCGAATGAGTTTTTGAGCAATAAAAATTTTGTGAAAGAGAAAAAAACCATGTTCAGAAGTTTCGGAGAAATTAGGAGGGCCGGACAAGTTTAACTCAAAGTTTCTAAGAAACAATCTCAAATGTTAATCAATTTCAGTACACTAAACCAGAAACTAACAGAATATACTAGGTAAGAAGCCGAAACAATTTCACCAAATAAATTGAGAATCAACCAAAAAAAATTTGGCAAAATAACAATCTTACAAAATCCTGCATATACTGCTAAAAACCGAATATTAAATAAAAGGTACATAGGTAAATGTAAGTGATACCTCAGAAGTGGTGATAAGAAGGAAATAATTATTCCATCAACCTGGACTACTCTGTTAACGAAATTATTTACGAGGTAAAAATTACAAAAAAATCTTAAGCTGATTGCAAGGGTTAAAACATTGAAACTAAAAAAAAAACCAGAATAGTTGCTCAGAAAGTTTCAAGCACTATGCCCATGCAAAAAATCAACCAAAAAACTTCTGGCAGCAAAATAAAAACATTACAAAACCTCGCAAATACCACTAAAAACGAATATTGAATACAATGAACATAGGTGGATGTAAGTGGTACATCAGTAAGTGGTGATTTGAAGAAAATTACAATTCCTTCAACATGGACTACCTTGAGAACGAAGTTATTTACGGGAAAAAAAATTATGCTGATTGCAAAGGTAAATACATTTAAATTTAAAAACAATCAAAATATCAGCTCAGAAAGTTCAAGCCCTAAATCTTATTTCAAGGCTAAATCCTTAACCTTATTCATTTTCTCAAAGGTGAGATCAGTCACTTGGTCAAGTTTCCGGTGTTTCTCAATCTGAAATGTTAATCAACTTCAGTACACTAAACCAGAAACTAACAGAATACACTAGGTAAAAAGCCGAAAGAATTTCATCAAATAAATTGGAAATCAACCAAAAAATTTTTGGCAAAATAACAGTCCTACAAAATTTTGCATATATACCGCTCAAAACCGAAAATAAAAAAAAAACATAGGTAGAAGTAAGTGATACCTCAGAAGTGGTGACAAGAAGGAAATAATTTTATTCCTTCAACCTGGACTACTCAGTAAACGAAACTATTTACGAGGTAAAAATTACGAAAAGAACTTGAGCTGATTGCAAGGGTAAAAACATTGAAACTAAAAAACAAAACAAAATATATGCTCAAAAAGTTTCAAGCCCTATGCCCACGCAAAAAATCAACCAAAAACTTCCGGCAGCAAAATAACAACCTTACAAAATCTCGAAAAACCACTAAAAACGGATCTTAATTAGAATGAACATAGGTGGATGTAAAAAGTACATCAGTAAGCGGTGATTTGAAGGAAATTACAATTCCTTCAACATGGACTATTATGAGAACGAAGTTATTTACGGAAAAAAATACAAAATTAGTTATGCTGATTGCAAAATTAAATACATTCAAATTTCAAAACAACCAGAAAAGCAGCTCAGAAAGTTCAAGCCCTAAATCTTATTTCAAGGCTAAATGCTTAACCTTATTTATTTTCTCAAAGGGGCGATCAGTCACTTGGTCAAGATTCCGGTACGATTAGTTTTCGCAGAAAAAAATCAACTACAAATATTCAGCCAAACAAAAGGGTGCCAAGACAACGCGCAAACGACAACTGACAAAACTTTCAGCTTAGAAAAAACAAGCTTTACAATCTTAAAGTTCACCTGCAACTCTTAACATCGAAAGGTACATATGCATTAAATATATTCGAACTATCCTATTAATTCAGCGATTTTAAATAGTTCTAAAATTTAAATATTAAAATTTACCATTTTGTGAACAAAGATATTAACGGGGAAAAAAGTCTAGCACCCGGTTACAAAACCCTTGCTATCATTCGAACCCATCTTATATTTATTTGTGGCACCTGGATTTGCGTGACAAATACAGAAGGATCAGAATGCAAAATGCCAACCCAATTTCAGTGATAGAAGCAAAACCGACGCCGCCCAAAATTATTAATGTTTTAGTGCAATGTTGCAGTTAGTTGAGCGTCCAAATACAGAATGCCATTCAAGAAGTATCGAATGAATTTTTGAGCGATAAAAATTTTGTGTAGGAGAAGAAAAAAAACAAGTTGATAAGTTTCGGAGAAGTTAGGAGGGCCGGAGAAGTTTAACTCAAAGTTTCTTAGAAACAATCCCAAATGTTAATCAACTTCAGGACACTTAACCAGAAATTAACAGAATACACAAGGTAAAAAGCCGAAAGAATTTTATCAAATAAATTGAAAATCAACCAAAAAAAATTTGGCAAAATAACAATCTTACAAAATCTTGCATATACCGCTAAAAACCGAATATTATATAAAAGGTACATAGATAGAAGTAAGTGATACCTCAGAAGTGGTTATAAGAAGGAAATAATTATTCCTTCAACCTGGACTACTCTGTAAACGAAGTTATTTACGAGAAAAAATTACGAAAAAAATTCAAGCTGATTGCAAGGGTAAAAACATTGAAATTAAGAAACAACCAGAATAGTTGCTCAGAAAGTTTCAAGCCCTATACCCACGCAAAAAATCAACCAAAAAACTTCCGGCAGAAAAATAACAACATTACAAAATCTCGCAAATACTACTAAAAACGAATCTTAAATATAATGAACATAGGTGGATGAAAGTGGTACATCAGTAAGTGGTGATTTGAAGGAAATTACAACTCCTTCAACATGGACTATTATGAGAACAAAGTTATTTACGGGAAAAAACACAAAACATTTATGCTGATTGCAAAGGTAAATATATTTAAACTAAAACCAACCAGAATATCAGCTCAGAAAGTTCAAGCCCTAAATCTTATTTCAAGGCTAAATCCTTAACCTTATTCATTTTCTCAAAGGGGAGATCAGTCACTTGGTCAAGTTTCCGGTACGATTAGTTTTCGCAGAAAAAAATCAACTACAAATATTCAGCCAAACAAAAGGGTGCCAAGACAACGCGCAACAAACGACAACTCACAAAACTTTCAACACAGAAAAAACAAGCTTTCCAACTCTTTAAGTTTACCTGCAACTCTTAATAACGACCAGTGCATATGCATTTAATACACTCCAACTATGCTATTAATTCAGCGGTTTTAAAAATTACCATTTTGTGAACAAAGATAGTAACGGGAAAAAAGTGTAGTACCCTGTTACAAAACCCTGGCTTACGCAAGGATAAATAAGAACAGAATCATTACCAAGGGCTTTCACACAAAATATCATTTGAACCCATCTAAGATTTATTTGAGGCACCTGATTTTGCATGACAAATCAGAATGCAAAATACCTTACCAATTTCAGTGATCGAAGCGAAAGCGACGCCACCTAAGTTATGCATATCAAGCATAGGCCTGAAAATTTGTTCAGGGGATGAAATTCTTATCAACTTTTGCAGCAGAGAGACGAAGCTTCGCTTCGAACACACTTGCGAGAACTCGACAAAAGCAGCTCTCTAAAGTGCAATAATAAAAATTGGAAACCCTCGAATTAATTAAAAAAAAAACTTCGGCAACCTCTGCATTTCGAACCTGCGACCTAAATATTAAGAGACTCACGCGCTAACCACGCAGCCACGAAATCTTACTAGGTACCAACTTAACCAGAGAACAGACGCTATGCAATTTCCAATGCTACATTGAATTTTCTAAACACTTTTAATTAACTATTTTATTTGGGAGTAAGGTTAGAAAAAAGAAGGTTCGTAATAACACACTAAGCTGATCGCAAATGTACAGATCGAACAGATTGATTTTCGAACTCCCCCGAAACACTAGAAAAACCCGATGTTCTCAAAAATTTTACAAGCCACAACGACATTTGTATTGTATTTTTTGGAAGTTTATGATTTTTTAAAAATTGGGTTTTTAGCGCGCGTGTGTCCCTCTAAAACTCAGTGTAATTCGGTGTTGGGTTTTTAGCGCGCGTGTGTCCCTCTAAAACTCAGTGTAATTCGGTGTCAAACGCATTTTAAGAAAAAAAACTAGGGTTAGTCGAACGAAATTGAATGGCATAAAACAATACCAAATGTGGGGGCGAGCGTGTCAAATGCGCTACGGAATTTTCCGTTAACGCATACATACTTTTTGAAATTTAGGTCTCTTTTGAGATCATTCTTTTGTAATCACGTTAGATAAAAACTGTTTCGACGCTAATGCAAATCTGACATCAGCCTTAAGAAAAAGGATGTCAGAAATTTTTTTAAATCAATTGGGTTCGAAAACAATTAAGATTTTAGTCATCATTAAAATCAACAACGTATCAGCAAAAATACTGCTAATAAAATCTATTACAATACATTATTGTTAAAACACCATCAACAAACATTCAGTTTTTCAAAACTCAAAGAGACGAAATAAACATAATTGAAGCTTTTTCGATGACGATAATTTAATTCAAGCCTTGCTCGGCATTTGTTCCAGTCTCTCTGCCTCCTCTTTTCCGGTGAGAACATTGGCTGACATCCATGTTAGCCGATCTTCGTAAAATTTGATCACAATTTGCGGACATTTGATATTGGCTTCTGCGGCTGAAAAACAATCTTTTGAAAAAAATAGTTACACATATGCCAACATTTTTCTAAGCCAAAACAAATGAACAAAAATTTTTCATGGAAAAACATAGCCAATTGACACATTTTTGAAAAAACTAACCCAATTCGAGAGAACTGGATCAAATTTTGAAATTTTATTTCGCTGGAAATCTAAAAACTACATTCCACTTTCGAAGCAAGAAATCGTCCACATTTTTTTTGCGCCATATCCACGTTCGTTTTTGGACAGTGCTATTAACGTCACTTTCAGCAGATCAATTTCAATTGAACTCAAAAATAGCATATACACATAAGTGCGTTCGCAAATGCATCAATATGTATGAATGCACATCTGTAGTTATTAGAAATTTGTGGAAATGAATTTGAATTGAACTCAGAAAGTTCACATATACTTCAGTGCCTTGTTATATGCATTAATAAACAAAAAATTAACCAAGACCTAAATAAGTGTCTGCTCTTCGTTCATCGACTCTTAAACAACCAATCGAATATATGCGCAATTGCAATAAGGGAAACTTACAGGCAAAACTGCAAGAATGCCAATCAAATTATTGCTAAAATAGCGTAAAACTGCAGAAAATTGAATAGGGCGTCATCGTAAAATTATATTCTACAGTCGAAACTAGAAGTCGATTATGTTTTTGTGACCTTTACACTTTTGCTGTTCGATAGCGGAGCTTTTAACTAAGGAAATGAACTGAACTTGAAAAGAAATCACATATCAAACCGCAAGAAATTTATAAAACGTGAAATCCTATAACTTTTTCCTGGAAAAAAAACAGGACTTGTAGAAAAAACAAGACATGTTCATTACTCTTATAACTATTATATTCCAGATCATTTAGGCAAAAAGGCGAACACCAAACATAACAAGCCGAGAAAAAATTTTTGAAAAAAACCAGGTCATATAAACATTCATGTATCGAAAAAACTTCACTCCAAGCAAACATAGCAGACACTTAAATTTAAAATTTAAAAAAAGCAACAACGGAAAAAAAGTAAGAAAAGAAACAGAGCATTGCACTTGCAACTACAAAGAAAGATGCTTACAGCAAAAAAAATCAATGATAAGGCAAATAAACAGACAATCTTTGAACAAACACCAACTGAAAAAGATCTTATGAAAAAAAAGTTGTAGAATCTTTCAAGTCCCCCTTATACTTGAGCAAACAAACGGAAAATCAACAATTCATTTTTCTCGAAACTTTTTTCCAATTTTCCAAGTACTGAAAAAAACAAGGTCCTGTCACGACTCGAACCCTAGACGTTAAGGCATAAAGGCAACTGATTTACCTCCAGGCCAAGGTAGAAGCAACCTGGAATGTTAATAGAGGACAACAGAAAAGAAGTCAGCTGCATGGATAATAAGTCAGCTGCCTTTTCTTCCTCCTCCTCAGCAAGTGATTCAACTGATTTTGTTGAGCGGTTCTTTTTAATTCCCCCCCCCCCCCCCCCACCTCACACGAGCTTCAATTTTTAGTGGAATGAGCGGTTTAATGAGGTTGATTATGAAGACAAAAATATGTTTGTCGTGGCCTTATTCGTCTGTTTAAAAATTTTCATAACAATCGGACAATGTGGTCAACAAATTTACTTGTAAAAATTTGCAGGGGGAAGGAAAAAGAGCCTGTTAAGCTAGTCGTTAACTAGAAAAAAAATCTCCTTAACAGTTTGATATCGAAGGTTAAAAAAAATAGAAGCGAAGCTGTGGTTCGCAAACACTTGCGAGAACACGACCGAAATGCAGATCTACCGAGTGAAATAAGAAAAAGTAGAAATAAGCCTCGAAGTAGCAAAAACTCGGCTACGTTCCGGAGTCGAACCCGCGACCTAGCAAATTTGAGTCTCACGCTCTAACCACTCAGCCACGGATGCTTTAAGTCCTCAAAAACTAGCCACCAATAACGCAGCTACATATGCTAATAAAGTGCCAATTCGATGCAGCAAAAGTAGCGTCAAATAGAAAAAGACACAATTTTGCATGAAATATATCGGAAAGCATAGAGCCAAATTATGTATAAGTTATGCATTTCAGTTCATTTGATGAACTGAAAGTGAATCAGCTGTGTTAACTTTTTATTAATCAAACGTCAAAGCACCTGATATTATACTGCTACAGCAGCCAACCGATTCAAAAGGGCCACCAAAAATAGCACTTTTTGTTTGCGACTTAGGTTGGAAAAAAAAGAAAGTTCGTATTAATACACTTTGCTTCGCAAGTGTAATTAACATGTGAAATTCTTTTGGTGACAAAACGTTTCGAATTTCAACCTATGCTTTTTTGAAAGATGACTGATATCAACATGAAACTTCATTGATGATATTCACCTAAGACGACGTCGGGCTTGTCTCTATTTTTCCACTTGATCACAAACTTGAGAGCCCCTCCGGCGTCAGTGGCGGCCAAGATCTTCTCCGCTTCCAACTGTCGGTCGAAGCCATACCCAATCTCAGACTGTGGCAGAGAGAACTCCTTCTTCGACTGCGACTGAAAATCAACCACTTACTAATTTATTCCATGGAAAAGAAGACAATTCTGCAACCACTCAATTTGCAATTTTGCAACCATTCAATCACAATAATCTCTAGCAGTATATGAAATGATAAAAAAAAACAAATTAGTAATATTTCTTCAAATGCCATTTGAAATGAAAAATAAAACAAGAATAGCCTGTTACTGTACACGTACAAAGGATACATAATGTTCGAGCCAGAATGATTGAAGTACTATGCACTACTTAACGGTCGGGGCCCTCTCGCAACAAATCGACTTCTTCATAGATCCCCCCCAAAAAAAATTGACCCGAAGTTTTAGAAAAATATGCCAATAACTAAAAGTCTGGGCCAATTTTGATGTTCAAAACTTTTGTCTTGGTTTTGTCACAATATTTATCTGAAGTGATACAAAATTGCGGAACCACCCTGATACTTTTTAACCCCGCAATGAAAAACGCCTTTTTGTTCAAAAAATGTCTAAACCTCCGGTAATTTTCAACCCCACCCCCACGGATTACGTACAGCTACTCAAAAACTCAAAAATCTGAAAACATTGTTTTAGATCGGAAAAAAATCAACTTTTTTGAAAAGTTTGAAATCTCGCCTTAGTTCTTGATAACTTTCCATAATAAAACATAGCCAACAGACGGTTGGAAGATTCAATGAACGCAAGGAAACAGAAAAAGACTGACTCATTTCAGGAAAAATGAAAAACAGAGCTAACAATCAATGTCAATTCAACTAAGCGCTTTCGCACTAACTTTGCATCTTCAGAGTATCTATCGATGGTATCTATTCTGGAAAAACTTCAACTTTCGTTTTTCAAAGTACAAAATATATGGCTTGAATGCTATTTGAATTTCATGACAAAATTATGATTGACAACTTTTTGATAAAATTAACTCGATTTACGAAAACTGAATTAATTGGAACTTTTTTTAATCCGCTGGGAAATCTTAAAATTTTAAATCCACTTTCGGAAGAAAAAATCGATCATTGTTCTTGCGCCACTTTCGATTTGGTAATTGAAGAGAGCAATCAACCTAAATTTTAGCAGATGAATTTGAATATAACTCAAAAAGTTCATATATACTTGAGTGCCTTATTATATGCATTAATTTGCATGAATGCACATCTGTATTATAGAGCCTTTTAGACTTTTTCCAGGAAAAAAAACGAACAAAAAATTAACCAAGACCTAAATAAGAGTCTGCACTTTATTCATCGACTCTTAAACAACCAATCGAATTAAAGGGCAATTGCAATTAGGGCAATTTATGGGCAAAACTGCACGAATGCCATTCAACTTATTGCTGAAATAGCGTAACTGCAGAAAATTTAAGAGGGGGTCATCGTAAATTTGGTCTGAGAATTGAAACCATAGCAAACACATAGTTGGAAAAATGTTAATGAGCCCAAGGACACCAAGAAAGGACTTTTTGAAGAAAAAAAAAACCATTTTCTAGTTTCAAAGAAAAAAATTTCAAAAAATAACATATCAACCTTAAAGCTCATAGAGTATCAAGAATATTTTTAGTGACATTCTTTAATCACTTTCGCGGAAACCTGAAGACAAACCTTTTTCTTAGAAGCAGCCTTCTCAGCTTTTGCTTCAGCCAATTTAGACTCAAATTCATCAACTTTTTCAGGACAGTGAAGATTTTCAAGTGGTTCCCATGTATTAGTTGATGCAGGCCAATCTTTCCATTTGATAAAATATTCCGGTTTGCCCTGCACTATTCGCTTTTTGATTATTTTCTCCACCACATATTCATCTTCAGAACACGAATCGGAATCATCTGCATCGCCAGACTTCTTGGATTCCTTCTCTGCTTCTTCGCTTTTCTCAGTTTCAGTAACCGATTTCTCTGAAATAATTTTCACCTAACGAAAAACCTTCATTTGTTATTACCATTTCTCCGAATAACCACAGACTTGTATCAGTCTTTAGAACTTATATCAGTCTTTATTTTGCGAATCAGCATGATGCAAAAACAAAATATCAATAAAACTCTCATTCAAAACGTTTGCGCGTAAAAGTCTGAGCAGACCAATCACGATTGAATGGGCTTTTGTATGAAAACATAATTGACCTACCTAACAAACGTTCTTTACAAAGGCTAAAATTGCAAAAAAATGCCACAGTAATGAGTTCAAGTAACCTTGCATTTATCGATATTTCAGATAGATCAATGAATTCGCAGGATCCAGTATCATTTTGACCTCACAACAAGCCAATATTCAGAACTGCTCGCATATTTTTTATTGCTCGCATATTTATCATTCAATTTTTACACGCAAGTTTTTCTCAAGAGTGTAAACAATTTAGAAAAAATTTAAGTAGAAAAATTGCTGTTAAAACATAAGAATGCCCAAAATGAACAAACCTGCCAGCTCAGAATCCATGTTTGCAAGACGAATGGTTTCCACAGAATCATCATTATCTACAGAAAGCTTCCTGTTTTTCAACTCTGTGGCAGAATCCTTATCAACTAAATTTTTAATATCTTTCAATTCTGATTTTCTTATCACATCCATCGCTGACTGAAACATACATCTTGATAAACACATAGTCGAAGTTGAGCTTCGTGTTATTTGCTGATCATTAAAAAACATTCGATAGTGAAACATGAGAGGGGCGGAGCAGAGGAGTTTAAACAAGGACACGAAGGTTTTTGATTCAGGACATTTTCTTTTCTTGAAGATAATCAGATTTGTGCCATTCTGCCAGATGGCACAGCGCAACCTTCCGACGAAGCACGAATCAGAGAGAAAAGGCCTTAACAGCAAAAAAGTGCTTGAAAGGAGGGTCAGAATATTCTGGAATATATATTTTTTAAAATTTCGATTTTCAAGTTGATATTTCTCAGAAATACGAAAAACGGCCATTTTGAGCCAAAAAGTGACGAAAATCAGAACAACGACAGAAATTGTGAAAAACAGTCGTACAAGAGACGGAAAATACGAAGCCTCTTATCGTGGCAACAACACACGATAAGGACCTTAGCAGTGAATATTGGTGGAGAAGGAGGCTTCAGTGGGGGAAGAAATATACCACGGAACCCTCCCGGGACGCAAATCAGAAGAGATAGGAGCGTTATCGCTGGAATATCACGGGAGCGGAGGCTTGGTCCCCCAGAGACTGTTTATGTGAAGGGACTGTATAGAACCAACTTTGTAGCTACCTGAATGTCATAGATCTCTTAATTAACACCGTTATTTTTTGATATTTCAGAATATGAGTAGCTAGAAAGAGGAAAGGGTCAATCCATCTCCAATGGATTTAATATAGAACTTTCACACAAAAACATGTTAAAATAGGTTGTTCGAGCCGTGTTTTTAATGACAATCACGTAGTCTGAGGATCCGAGACTCAGCTTTGTGGTTGTGTTCGCATGTAAACGAAAGCTGATCAAAAGTCGTTTGACTGATGGCCTAAAAATGGTAACTTTTTACTTAGCCCTAGACAGACCAGAAAGTCAACTGGCAAGGTCGAGACGGTGAAAAGCGAGCAGGATTAAGGTAACTGACGCCTGCCAGTCGTTGATAGGTACTTTTTCTACGCTCCGTCGCTGTGTAGTATTTGGGCGAACGTTACATAGACGTTTTTATGGCGCTCCTGGGTGGGCCTGTCAAAGGCATAAGACCATCATGATCAGCAAGCGTTTCAGCGACGAACCCTCCGCTCCAGGCGTATGCCCGAGTTAGAGGCCTTAATGACCGTTATTGTACTGGGGGAAGGTGCGTACCCTCCGTCCAGTACTAATTAGCTTTTTAACTTAGTTAACACCGAAAATTCCGGGGGCCGGAGGGTTAGGTGGGAAATCTAGAGCCCGCTTGTCCTGAGGTCCCAGGACCAAAAACAATTAAAGAGAAAGCGTAAAACCAAACAAAAATAGGGTATAACCAACAAAAAACCAAAAACAAATTTATTGGAAAATAAAAAAAAGTACAAAAAACAGTAAAAAATCCAGAAAAGACCAAAAACAGTAAAAAATGTAAAGTGACAGTTTATATGTTGTTTCCGGACGAGATGTGATCTGACCTTCCTGTTTGTTGTTGTTTCAGATTAATTTATATCGTTTCTGATAGAAAGATTGTGTGTTTTGGTGAAGGGTTGGATACCCTCCCTCGAGTGTAATTTGAGTGTTTAAGCACGTTAATGGTGATTTTGCCGGTGGCCGGAGGGTAGAGTGGCAAGCTGATCAACTTGTTCCACACTCAACAGGGACATCAGGGACAACATCCGCAACGACTGTTGGGTATCGTTGAAGCAATTTTAGTATCGTTCGGGTACTATTTCATTAAAACTTAAGTGGTGGGGGGCACGATTGAGGCGGTCCGATTGTACCCTCCATCGATTTTAAATTTCCGAGTTAAGGGTCTTAATTCGGGTATTTTGGTGCAAAGGAGGGTATAGTACTATTCATTAACGACTATTAATAGGTTATTATCCTTATTACATATTACTTATCTCCTCGATTAGACCCAAAAAACACCCAATTTTGTCGAAAATCATCGATTTTCGATCGAACTGTAGACCCCCAAATTTTTGGATCACCGAGCTTTTCCGAACAACAAAAAGCTTTTATATAGGGAGTAGCTACGTAGTTCGATCCCCCTAACTAAAGAAATTGCGTGAGAAAAGACTCAGTAGAAGTTGGAAAAAACCAAATTTTTTCGGTCAAAATTTCGATAATTTTCTGAATTTTGTCAATCGGTTTTGGGGATCGAGTTTTTGAGTTTCTAGAGTTAGAGCAATAAAATTTTTTGTGTTAAGAGCGTGCTAGCATAACGTGCTCGGTTACTAGAGAAATTCTTGAGTAACCCTCCGATCAGCTCCGTAGATAGAGCTAACGACTTAAGGATCGGAAAAGGAAGGAATCGGAGGGTCCAAATTTGATAGTTATTGGCCAAATTTTTGTCTCCAAACCAATTTTGATCCGGTTTTTTGCACTATTCCAGTGCCGTACAGGGCTACTACGCTCGTTTCAATTATTTTTAGGCACTTTCGATAGGAATTGCGGAAAAAGCTACACAGAACCTATATAGGTGGTGAAAAAAGGCCATTTGGACAAACACGTTTTTGGCAATTTCTCAAATACTAGTCATCCGATCGGGATAATTTTGGTACCATAAGTCGACGTTTTGGACCACTTTTCCGGACCGCAACCGTTTTTGGGTTGATAATCTCGGAAAAGAAAAATTTTTTAGAATTTGTTGGTTCGGAGGGTCCAAATTACAGGTAACCCTCCGAGCGGCAGAAAATTTTATCAAAACATCTTTTTATTCAACTGGGAAGATTGACCGAGTCAGCCAACCTAGTTTTAAGTCAGGTAGACCGCTTTTGGAGACTTTGTTGCGGTAACATAACCTTTTTTCTTGATTTTTGAGGAACCCTCCGAGGTAACCCTCTGGAGTCAGCTAAGGCCCTTAGCAACCCTCCTTAGTGGAAAATTTCCGCGAGGTTATCCAAAGAAGTTAAGACAGCCCCCCTGATAGAGAATTTAGCTTGTTTTGACGCTTCCTGAAGTTAATTGAAGGCCCTTCTGAGTGAAGCTCAGAAATTTGAAAATTTTGGAGGTACCCTCCGAAGTAACCCTCCGGAGCATATTAAGCATCTTATTGACCCTCCTTAGTAAATTTAGGGGGACCCTCCGAAGTGACTTGGGTGATTAAGGTACCCTCCGAAGTAGGCTAAGTGTCTTAACAACCCTCCGAAGTAACCCTCCGGAGTGTCTTAAACCTTCTAAACAACCCAAAGTTAGAAACTTGAGGAAATCTTCTGTGGCAATTTGGGAAAAGGAAAATATCCATTTAATTTAAATCATATTAGGATATTAGGCGTGCTTATTAGGATCATAAGAGCCCATTTTGACCCGGAAATTTGTGATCAACTTTGGATTCTAGATCGGGTGTATCAGAAGTGCCCGAGCAAAATTTTTTTGATTGTGATTTTGGTTGTGTGGTTGCCTTGAGCTACTTAATAGGAAAGTTCGGGCAATCCGGGAACAAATAAAGGAACACCTCGGTGAGTGTATTAGGCAAATACACACTCACTTGAGAAGAAAAGTTGTTCCCTACTCTCGTGCACTTGGAGCAGTCCGGGTGTGGGAGAGCTTTTTCATAGACTTTGGAGATTTTCGATCAGAGGTTGCCTTGAGCCATTTAATAGGACAGCTCGGGCAATCACAGGGCACCTAAAAGAAGACTTCGGTGGGTGTAGCAAGCAAATACACACCCACTTGAGAAGATTGTGTCCTGGGCTTGGTTCTTTCGGATCGTTCCGATTGAGGGAAGTCTTTTTCTTTAAGACTAAGTTTTATTGATCTGTTTCTGAGTCATCACTGCTTTTTATCAAAGATTGTTTAATTTTAACAAAGCAGTGACTTGATAAATTGTGTGGCGATAAATTGATACTGACAAAAGGTCGCTGTCACCTGTAGGATATTCTTATCTGATTATCTATTGTGTTTTGTGTGTTGATTATATCTTGTGAAAATCTGGTGATACTGTTATACTATACGACAGGGTTGAGTTAGCATTATATCAATACTGAGCAGGCCCTGTGTGTGTGTGTAACTCTAGCTGAGTCACTAAGATTGTCATTGAGAAACCTAAGAGATTGATACTGACTTTTCGACATACGAATATAGTTTTTTTTGTGTCACAAAGTATGCAGCGCAGGGACTCGTTAGGATCGACTACTAAGATTCCCAGGCTGAGCAAGGGCAGCACGCGAAAGTTTAAAACTAGGCGTAGCCAGTCCTCGTTTAGCAGCGCCTCCGACGTGTTTGCTGAAAACGAATCGACTAAAGGTCAATCTGATCTTTCAGTGAGCGGAATGAGATTGAGGAGCGAGAAAAACCTCGATGGCGATCAAAGGCGGAGCGCTGAAGCCGGAACCGCGAGCGAAACGCTTGTGGACCCCTTTGACGAGGGAGAACAGACGCTCATTCGACCCGACTTTGAGCCGAGCGAGGACCTCGAGCGGGAGGAAGTCGAGAGGACAGAGGAGACCTCGGAGCGTTCCGAGGTCGAGCCGCGAGAGGAAGTATTATTCAAGGGCTTGTCCAAATCGGAAACCAAAAGTCACAGGTGGAGGGGAGAATACTCACATTCGGCTAGTACCCACTCATCTCTGGCCAAGCAGAGCAACAACGCGATGATGTTGAGTATAAGCCCGAGTGAAGAACAAACGGGTTCGAAGGCCAAGAGGAGTTGGAAGTCCTTGTACGACGAACGCATGGCGTCACTACCAACTGTAGGTTTGACTTCCAGTGATGACTACCCGGAGATAACCCATCCGGATGTGAACTTCACAACGTGCCCAAGGAATGATATGAGCAGGAAGGCGTCATCAACCTCGCCGACCAGGCCCATGTCAGATGGGATAACGATGGGAGCGTCGTCAACCTTCGACAGATTAATGACGTCGATGAGCAAACAAAAAGGCGGTGCGTCATCAAGCACCAGGCTGCAGCCGTAGTTGACCTCATCTTCTCTGGGACTAACCCCGTCATTTGGGGCCACTGGCGACATAAGT